ACATCTCAGGAGATTCCAGCGCTTCATGTCATAATCTCGTGACTATGACGTTACGATGCAGGACCTTCACTTTGATAGTTTTCTCTCATGTATTGTTGTTTGGGGCTGTGCCCTGTGTAGATTTTTTTATCGAACGATGGAATAATAAAGTGTTTGCTTGCAATGCTGCGAGACTCAATTAGTTGTTTGCCGATTGAAGGTGATCATGACATGTTCATTGGAGATAATCATGGAATTATTTTTTTACTGAGTTCAGCGACTTGCGTCTGGATCGTGGGTTTCGAAGTTCCTGTCGAAGTCCATTTTGATTGGACCATTAAAATTTCTTGTTCCGTAGACTTACATCTAGTTCGATGCCATTCGAAGAGAAGCACCATTTATACAAGAGCTGTTATTAATCATCACCGAATATAACTTTCAGATTCTCGAGACTCTCCGGGTCTGTTTTGTCCGATTTATCGCTCCCACGGAATGCCTCTTTGACGATGGCGGTCTTGCGTTTTTGGATCTGCAGTATGCGGCCTTCGATGGTGTGATCGACCTCGAAAAAGGTTTAATGGATATGGTGAACAGAGATCAAGACGAGCTCACTATAAAGTGTTTGACATAGACGGTTTTCTCTTGGCCTATTCGGTGCACGCGATCGATGGCTGTCACCAAAATCAGCACGGTGAACTATAGACGGATACCCGGACACCAACCTTGATTTTCAGTCGCCGCGTTCCACCAGCAGTCCATCTGAGCAATACTCATCAGTGACACAGAGCGACAAGTTCCGGGGACTAACCATGAAAACGTGGTTGGCGCTCGTCAGCTATCGTTTGACGTAACGTTCAGAAGATCCAAGAGGCAGGTGACTTGCGCTTACATTCAGACCAACGCCACCTGCTTTCAAGCTGACAATGAGAACCTTGGGCTTCCGCTCATTCTGCTTGAATTCTGATATGGCAGCATTGCGCTTCTTGAGGTCCATTGATCCATCAAAACGGTACCACGACAGGCGTTCACGGTCCAGTGCCACAGAGATAAGCGAAAGGAAGGACGTAAACTGCGAGAAGACGACAGCACGGAAGTATGGGTCTTGATCTCGAATTCGTCCTGGAACCAACTTAGCTCAGAGTGGAATGGACCATGTAAAGGAACACCTACTAAGGTTTTGTACCAGAGCATCCAGTTTCGTGGATGATCTAAAATCATTTCGGCGCAGGAAGACTTCTGACGTCGACGTCCCTTCTTTTTCGTCCCCTGTGGACTCCCGGTGTGGGCTATCTTGACCAGATGACCGGAGAACCTCAATGAGATCTTGCTCCTTGACTGGTCCATGTGAGCACGTCGGGCATCGTGGCACCTCTCCCTTGTCCGTGCATGTCGCAAGATATGATATAATGCATTCTTTACAACTGTGTTATAACGTTAGCATTGGTAGATGAAACGGACAGTATTGTGCGCACCATTGATGCATACAGGGAGGGATGATGGACGGCGTTTGCATCACATCAAGGCAGATTGGGCATTCTGCATCATTGGACATGTCAAGGTTGGCCAAAACACTCTCAGCATAGGCTGCTTTCGAGCCACTCTCCGAATCACGCTCTGAGATGTCATTCATGAGGGTGTCCACGTCGATCGCTCCATCTTTGGAGTGTCCAGAAGGTTTAGTCTCTATCCCATCGCTAGTATCAGTGACCAGATCTGGATGAAGCACTGCCTGGCGCAGTCTTGGAAAAGAGGTAAGATTAAGATACGTCAGGCATCGAAAATCTCACCTCATAATCATAGCAAGAATGTGGGTGTAGTTTTTGCCTACGAGCCCTTTTGCGTTGAGCTGATCGAAATTCCGCTTTGCTGCATTGTAAATAGACTCGTATATCTTTTGTTCTGCAGGTGTAAAGTGCAGTGTATCGACAGTGACCTCCTTCGCAGGTAATTCGACGATGCGTTTGCCAGAGTTATCACGCATGTTCTTCTCGCGTCGGAGAAGGACACTCTCGAGGATTACTTGCACTATTTCTATTGCCTTGGGATCGCGAGCAAGGAATGGCACAGTAATGAAGCTGGCAAATGGGCTCAGTCATGAGAAGAATGAAAATTCACGAGAAGGATAGACACATACGAGCGGAAGAATGAGTACGACGACCATGGTGTATACTCCAGGAATTGGCTGATACGAGATCAGTTAAACTATTGTATATGTACACTTTTGTTACTCACAGAAGCGAATGAAGGTCCTCGAGTTTATTGACAATGGGAGTTCCTGATCGTAATTTAGCATCTGGATTATGAGAAACATCAATGTAGCCACCTGTTACGGCCCATCTACGTCTAGCACGAAGAGCATATACAGCTCGTGCAGTCTTACTTGTCCTGGACTTGCAGTGATGAGCTTCGTCCAAAATGACTCGTAGCCACTCCACTTCACAAACCGTTAATCGAGGGATTTTCGTTGATCCCTGAAACATACCTTGGAAAATAGAAGATTGACCACCAGACTTGAGCAGTTTGGAGTGTTCGGAGGCAAGTACGCCGTAGGATGTAATAATCACGGTGATAGACGCGTCATCCATCGAATTATCTTCTATACCGTCCAGGTCCAGCCTATTCTGTCCGTGCCAGACACTGACTTTGAGGGTCCCTGGTGCACTCGACCGCTGGAGTTCCTCGTGCCACTGGGAGAGCAGTGAGGTAGGAGCAACAATCAATGTTGCAGAAGGGCCTTTGGCAGGCTTCTTCGTTTGCCTGAGAGCTCTTGACCGAAAGGCATTGTCAAGTTTCAGCTGACGAATGCGTGCAAGATCCTTGGAAGTATCGTCAGGAAGAATAGGTTCCGGATCTCGGTTTGTATGAATGAGAGCAGATAACATAATGGTTTTTCCCATTCCCACTGAGATGAATGAATCAGCTCTGAACATTGCACAAAGGTTACAGGGACGCACTCTCTGCGTGGTGTGCCATATTGAAAGGTTGTTGTTTATGAGTAAGGTAACGTCAAATGAGAACTGCACTTTACCATCACTGGCAGGGAATAAGTATCTATTAATCAACGAATGCTTGCTACTTACGCGAGGATCCCTCCTTTGAGTGTGCGTTCGGCCTTAGGAAAGTCAAGACTGAGTTCTCCAGAGTAAGGGTTGAAGTAGAACGGCTTCTCGTCTGCCGTCAGATCGATTATACCATCTCGAGGCTCGGCAGGGAAAGCATACCTATAAGAACAGTTGATCGCTGTTCCTATAGCATGTTTTGGGGACTTACTCGCTCCATAGAGGATGCATAGACACAGCTTCTCTAGCAGACATTTCACCTGATTCCCTTGAATGCATCCACCTTGTATGAGTCAGTAGGGGAGAATTAGAAATTCGATGATATTCCGGCCCACATAAGCGCTTGTTTCTGGTATCCCCTTAGTGTTAATGTAAAGGTGCCAGGAGGATCCATCTCAGCCATCGATTGATCGTGCTTCTGGGCTCTAGAAAACTGTCAATATGATAGCCTGACGTCACAAAATGATACCCGCTTCTTGTAGATGACATCCAACTCGCTGTCAGATAACTCCTCGGCTTCTTCTACTTCAACTTCCTCGCCGTCGCCAACAATTTCAATTCTCTTTTTTTTGGCACCGCCGGGATGTTGCGCCAGTTTATTGTTCATGCCGTCAGATCCATTTTCCATGTTGCCATTATCTTGGACGCGGGCTCCCCTACAAGGGCGGAGGTTAACAGCATCGAAGAGAGAGAGTAGCGCAGATTTGCGTTCTCTGAGAGTTTGTTCATCTTGTGTCTCTTGTCCCTGATTGAACAACGCCTTCGGTGCCCCCTCCGCGGAAGTACTCGGTGGTTTGAATGCAGATGCACGGACATATACAGACAATGAGACTATCAGGTCTGCACCAGAATGTAGAGTGGCTGGGCAGTCCACCACTGTACTGCCCTTGAAGTCGACGATCCCTGGACGCCGTGGTAAATGCAAGGCTAATTCAGATGGAAGATAAAGTACCGAAGTCAAGAAGCCTTGAAACCCAAGATGAAACATGCTGCGGAAGACGCCCAAACTCTGGTTGAAATATGTGAGCACCCTTACATTATTTGCAGATGATACTCACCGAAACCACGGTCATTTGTAAGGCGAACTACGGTGTCAGCTTTCTTCGTCGTTTTGGGTGGCTGCGATTTCAGCATAGCACCGAGGGTGAGTTGCTTCTTTTTACCATTACCGGGAAGAGCTTTCTTCTTTCCTTTGCCAGAAACTGGTAGGCCAGATTTAAAATCATCAGGATCATCCCGTTCAATGTGAATGGTGTCGCCTGATTTGATATAACCTTTGCCTCTGACAGTACTCCAGGCATTCCCAACAAGGAATGATCCAAGATATGCAGAATGACCAGACGGTCCCGTACGCACCTGAACCTTGGAAGGAGGTGAAAGTCGCCTCTTCTTGACCGGTGGTTCTTCATGAGAAGGACCTGGCACCGGCGAGGAACTTCTGAGAGAGGGCCCTGATGACATGCTACTGACGCTGGAAGCTCGAGGAACCTCTTCAAATGAGGGTATCTCCAGGTCGCTTTCGCTGTCATTGCCATTCATGATCAATTCTGAATTAATCGCAATTGGCCTTGGAGTTTGGAAACGTGGAATATCTTCATCATCACTATCGGCAAAGAACAGACGCTTCTCTTGTGGGGAGTAGGGCGGACCTGATGGGGGAGCTAGTTGGTGAGATGCTGGCTGCACTGATATCCCAATCTGACTCGGAACCGTCACGGTTGTGGACTTTGCGTCGTCTTCCTCATCGTCAGAATCTGCGAAAAAAAGACCATCACAAGGTCGAAAGTCGTGGGTCATTAAAGTTCTTTTGTATAGGAAGCGAGAGACGGCGCTGCTAAGGGATGATATATAATAGATCCGACGCGCCAACAGTCAAATGTGAGACGCGTCCGAGTTGTTTGGCTGTGTTACTGCTAGTCACGCTCTCTTGCCCTAATGTGTTTCGTTCAATTTAGACTGACTCGGACCACATCGCTTCCACTGTACTCAACGGCAGTACTTTTACTCTCAAGTGTTGAACCGTTACCGTTATCAGAGCACGAGGCTCGTCAATTCTTGCGTCATCATGTGGGCCGTGTGTGCGCAATGTATATAAGCATTTTCACTTGCTTCCCATGAAGACATCGATGGTTCCCAGCTGCAGGGCTGCTGTCGGACAGTCGTTATAACATCCTGGCTGGGATGAATTACACATATTGGATTCTTCCTGCCTCCTGCACTGCGTCAATAGTGCTTGATAGCCCGATCTTGCCTCTCGATTCAGCATCTATCCTGGCCTGCTGTTAGTGTCCTGGAGAGCTTAAGTGTCGTCCTTAGTAAAGGGTACACAGTAAACCTGCTCTCTCACTCCATCCGTTCATTCAACACTTTGTAACGCTTGTGTCCATGGCTCAACTTGGCAACATGGGAGCATCTCTCAACCTCCATATCCTTCTTATTCTCGGGACGCTGGAAAGTCCCTTTATCCATCGGACTGGGATAATTTCGATTTCGTGCCTTTCCTCAACCTCTATGTCAAGTTGGCCGAACTCTGGTATTATGGGACCCACATTTTTGTCCACTTGCTGGGTTACATTTTACGGATTATTCACCGCACTCTGTCGATGTCCCCACTTGCAAGGCCTGCATATATTAGTGGATGTTGTGAAAATTGACATTAATCCTACAGCCAAGTCATTTCAACATGCCACCCTGGGAACATCGGGCCTGCTCAGCTCTCTTATTGAGGATGCTGAAAGGCTGTCGTTCGCATCATTTTCCACATGCTCCCTTGTGTCAACCAAGTTATTTACCATGGATATCCGTCGTGGACCGAAGTGAACCGACAGCCTGATCTGTTCGCGGTTCATGGCGACTGTCGTATCACAGAAGCAAATCAGAATATCCCAGCCTTTATGATTATGGGAGTGCCATTGCGGAAAACGTAGAGCTGGACGTCAAGTATCCGGAGGTTAGGTGCTTGTTAGGTGCTGGTGGTTACTACACAGGGTCTCTTCCTATGAAGCTAGTAATAGTACTTTGAATGCTTAATGTCTAACCGTGCCAACACATCCAGTTTCACGATTTCGCTAGTGACACGCCCATTGGAGTTGCCGTGATCCATCATCTCGATGCAACGAATGGGCTCAAAATACGATCGACACCAGCCCTTATGTGAAACAGAAGGAATTCAATCCGTGCTGAGACTGGAGATTGCTACATCATTGGAAGTCGTAGTCCTCTTGAAGTTGTCATTTGCAAATAATTTTTCGAACACGTCAAAATGCATGTAGCTCCTCTAGTAAATCCCATTTATATAAGTGACGCTTTTCAGACGATCTGTGCAAATTTATAGGAACTCGAGGCGAGCCGTTGATGGAGAGTAGAGATACAACAAACGCGCTAGCCAAACAAGTACAAACTGCAGATGCAATATTACTACTGACATATTCTTGCCATCGTCTTGCGCGATCTACTGGCACAAAATGCAGCGCGGCCTACCAATGGTACGTCCTTTCCGTGTCTGCTATTCATCATAATCGATCCTTGATTTTAGCAACCCACTGTCGTGCTCCTTCGGGAGGGCACAGACACGTCTCAAGGAAACCCACAGCTTTTGTCTAACATATCCGCGTGTCTTGCCATATCCGAGACACTCTCCAGCACACTTGGTCCGCGTGGAATGGACAAGCTGATCGTGAACGAACGTGGCGAAGCCCAGATCACCAATGACGGTGCAACGATCTTGAAGCTTCTTGACATTGTTCATCCGGCTGCCAGGACCCTCGTCGACATCGCACGTGCCCAGGATGCAGAAGTCGGCGATGGAACCACCAGTGTCGTACTTTTGGCTGCACAGTTCCTCAAAGAAGTTCGTGGATACATCGAGGAGGGTGTCAGCCCGCACATCATCATGAAGGGATTCAGAAAGGCGTCACAACTGGTACGTAACACATGTGCTGCGATATCGCTTGAAAATCATGATATTAACAATCAATAGGCTGAAGAACGCATCAAGGCAATTCAGATTAGTATTGATAAGTCCGATCCTGAGTATGTCTCGGATTTTTTGAACGACAGTCCCTAACGCTTCTGCAGGCAATTTCGATCTCTTCTACTCAAATGCGCAGCAACGTCGATGTCGTCAAAATTGATCCATTCGGAAAAACCATTCTTCTCGAACATGGTCGTTGACGCTGTTCAGAGCCTGGATCCAAACGACTTGGACGAGTCGCTCATTGGGGTGAAAAAGATTCCAGGAGGTGGCATGCAAGACTCTCTGTTGATCCGCGGCGTTTCTTTCAAAAAAACTTTCACCTATGCAGGTGCTGAGCAACAGCCGAAGTCCTTCCGGGACCCTCTCATTCTCAGCTTGAACGTGGAGCTTGAGCTGAAAGCTGAGAAGGACAATGCCGAGGTTCGAGTGGAGGCGGTGAAGGACTACCAGGCGATCGTTGATGCAGAATGGGAGATCATCTACAGGAAGTTGGAAGCGATAGAGAAGACTGGTGCCAAAGTGGTGTTGAGTAAATTGCCAATCGGAGATCTGGCCACCCAGTGGTTCGCCGACCGGGACATCTTCTGTGCTGGTCGTGTACCGGCTGGTGATCTGCGCAGAGTATGTCAAGCAGTAGGAGGCTCCGTGCAGTCAACGTGCTCAGACATAGCTCGAGAGCATCTCGGAACTTGCGGTCGGTTCGAAGAGCGACAGGTCGGTGGCGAACGGTATAATATCTTCGAGGAGTGCCCCAAAGCACAGACATGCACGCTACTTCTTCGTGGTGGTGCAGAGCAGTTCATTGAAGAAGTGGAACGTAGTCTGCATGACGCCATCATGGTCGTTAAGCGAGCAATCCGTAATGGTGAGGTGGTGGCTGGAGGCGGAGCTGTCGAGGTAACTTATGGCTCATTGCCTTTTTATGATCTCCTCTCTAACTTTGTGGTTCAGATGGATTTATCCGCGCACATTCGGAAACATGCACTGTCGATTCCTGGGAAGCAGCAACTGATTTTGACTGCTTTTGCAAAAGCGCTAGAAATCATTCCTCGACAAATCTGTGACAATGCCGGTCTGGACTCTACTGACATTCTTAATAAACTGCGCATGCGACACGCTGCTGGCAACAAATGGTTCGGAGTAGATGTTGACGGTCCGGAAGGTGTCCGCGACAACATGGAGGCATTCGTTTGGGAGCCTCCGCTCGTCAAGTTGAACGCAATCAGCAGTGCAACTGAGGCCGCATGTCTCATCCTCAGTGTTGACGAGACAGTAAGAAATCCACAAAGCGAGGCAGTACGTAGGCTCTTCTCTTTCCCTTTACAAGAACTGAGGAAATCTCTTTCAGCAAAACCCAGGGCCAAAAGCACCACCTGGCGCAGCAGCTCGTGCTATGCGGGGCAGGGGCAGGGGCATGCCCAGGCGGTGAAGGAGATGACGTCGCCGGTAAAATATTAGAAGAAGTGACTTGATAATGACACGTACTGTATCATCTGTTCTTAGCAATCAAGTGCTAATCAGGGTGCTTGCAAATGTTGACATGAACCTGGGTCCTCGTTACAGCAGTAATGGTATTGGACAAAATTTTCAGGTGGATCTGATCAAAGGAAACTAATGAAAGCCATGTCGCGTCCATAAGGACAGGATTCCTTGCAGTTCCTAGAGCATGCCCAGCACTTCTCAATCATACCACAGTATTTATCAACCTGCAGCGCAGGAATTGCACGACGATGAATGTTGAACGACTTTCATTGGCTGACTACGCTACAACTTCCGCAAGCCTCTCGAGTTACATGAAAAAACTTGAGTGCTTTCAGTGTGAGTGAGCCCACGCCAGAGATGAAATCTAATGGGCCACTTGCTCATGTTCATCGATGCGGTTGCAAAGCTCCCTCCGGACAAACTTCAACTAGATGTATTGGCAGTATATCACATGTATCGTGTGTTATGTGAGATGATTAGAAGGATAGATCAATGTAAAGGACGTTGAGATAACCGAAGGAGCGACGATAGTATGATACAATGATGGCGTGGCGATATACAAGTTGAAAGATAACCGACAGCATAACCGGAATTAGTAGACTGGTACCAGCTTGTTAAGGATCACTATGATTTTCTCAGTATCGAATACTGGCGCCGTGTGGCTATGGCGAACTACCTGGCTTTCAAAGCCAGCTTTCTGACCACCAGCACTGCAAGGTCCTGCCGGCGTAACGTGTGAGAGAATGGACACAATCAAAGTAAGACTAGCAAAACGCACGATGAGCAAAGTGGTCAAGCTGAGGCGTCTGATGCGAGGTTTGGCGTCGGCCTCGACGACTTCGGCGACTTCAATGACTTCCTGCAGATTCTCAACATTAGGATGCTGCTCCTCATGGAGGTCGGACTGCAATTTGAGAGTAAGTCAGGGTACAGGAAAATGTAAGCAAATACCTACGAGGTCGAGAACCACAGGTCTAGCATTGTCGTCCTCTTCAACAACGTGGTACCAATTACTGAGGCGATCATCTACAGTGTTCTGCACGGCAAATTGTGAAAAATAGCGATCCAATGAGCTTCGCGTGGCTCACCATCAGGCTCTCGCGTTGGCTTAACTTTACCCTCGGGTAAGGGTGGAAGCGAAGTAAGTGAGAAGTCCTGTAGCTGGGCAACCTCATGTTGCTTGTCGAAGACTGGTTCATCACGAGGGAGAATGAAGGGAAAGGAATGTCGTATATACTGCGTGAAGGCATTAATGTTTAAATACCAACGGGAGCTTGAGGGAAGGAAAGCGAAAATAAATAAATTGAGAGCCAGGGATTAGAACCCTAAATTCGCAATTCCGACAGGGTTGAGTTATTATCCCCAAATTCGCAATCCTCGAGTTGGTGCCGAATACATTGTGAGCGCCTATCCCAGTACGGCCGTTGTGAATCTCGAGATATTGATACGAAATTTGCTTCCGCGGAAACAATGACTTTAACATCTCCATCGGCGACCTCGATCCAGGACAAACCATCGATGCACAAATGGACAGATACAAGACGTCGCAGGAGGGATAGCATGGGCATGATTGGGTACCAGGTTGCTCCATCAAAATTACGGACCGCCGTCGCAGGAAGCAAACATGCATGACGCTCAACGTGTTGGAAACTTGGATGCTTGCATGTTGAAGCTCCATAATATACACCACAAACTTCGACGACCCGTTCAACTTCTTATGTGCTGCTTAGAGCATCATAAGAATGCTGCGAGCCAGACTCGTCCCTGCTTGGAAAAGAGTCAGTATGCACGAGGCTCAAGTGCGTGGACTCTGTTTATGGTGAACTCTGTTGTATGGTAAACAGTATATCTCCAAAAATGCACTGATAAACCATCCTGAGCGACTGCATCCCCTGGATATGCCAGAAAAACCCTCAATGCCAAGCTACTCCCTCAGCGAGGACAGCGTGACAAAGAACGATGTGACAAGCGGCGTGACCCAAAAAGGGGCGTCACGCTAATTCGCGTGCACGAGCCAAGGCAAGTTCGCAACCGCCATCATAAAACATGAAAGCGACTCAGCAGTGTGCTCACAAGCTCTCAAGATGTTTCAAGCAGCATTGGTGTGAGTCAAGATAGTCACTGTGGCTGCATCAAGACCACCCAAAAACCTCAACTGGCGCAACCGCCTCCATCAACATCGACAGATGGCCACCACTGCCACACCAGTAGTGATATGCCCCAGAACAGAAACAAAATATGGTTGGAGTGAACAAGACACTCACCAGTGACTATAATTCGGCTCAGTGCCTCCACATGCATCGTAAGCTGCCTCAAATCCCCACAAATTTCCGTGCATCCAGATGTGAAGAATGTCGAACCGAATGATCCAACATGAAAAGAAGTGCTGTCAAGATGCAGAAATAATGAAGATCCCCAGCTCCGTTGCTGGTGGGAGAACTGCGATTTTTCACCGTCGTGTCGTCCAGTTCTTGCCTTTGCGACCTTGCCGACATAATAGAAATTGGCGATGCTGAGCTGTGACGAAGCTAACATAAAGTGCGACCAAGCTGTCTTGCATGTCCCCGTGGGCAACACAATTCGTCATATCCGACTCCAATTTGCGAGGGATCCGTGGTGCGACGATAGGTATCGAAGCCTTTCTTCAGGATCAACAATCCGAGAAATTTGATCGCGAAGAGCCCTCTCGCATTGCGCTTGAGTGGTTGAAGTTGAGCTATCGAATTTTCATTTTTGAACGACCAGTCGCAGCGGTTGGTGGGTGATCTGTGGGCGCCAACTTTTTGTTTGGTCCACAAGCTTGAAATTGAAGTGACTTTAGACCCTAGTGCCAGGGTGGTCGCAACTCCGCTCGCTAATTCAAGGCCAAAGTTTTTGCAGCTCCCCTTGGTTTTTGGCCTGATTTAACGGATTGATTTTTCTCCTCGAACGAGAAACTTAATATATCGCGGTTTTCGTCTCGGCCGCCTCTCCTGCATGAAAGTCGGGCAATATGACGACTATCTGACGTTGACCGTCCACAATAGAAAGGCAATGGCTCTGCAGTGAACCGAAGTTTGGAGTCTTGGACCTCGTACTACTAAATCACTCGCCAAATTCCACTGGTACCTAACTACTGTTGGCCAGTTGGCTGCGTAATATTTGCCAGCGATTTCGACTGGGTCCTGATTTCTGATTCCAGAAGTACCACCGCGTCAATGGGATTACAGAGGTGGTACTGCTTGAGCTCAACTGGATCGTCTGTCCTCCCAGCTAAAGCAGGTCTCTATCTCCTCTGTATGGCGCTCGCTCAGTTTTTTTCAGGACGATTCTATACATCTCCTGGGCACCTCGTTCGTACGCGATGAACTCATGTATCAACAGACTGGGGAGAGCCAAGTTCATTGACATCGCACTTAGAGATTTTTTTACTTCATTTTTGTTTTCTGCATCTCCTTCGTCTACCTCGCAGCCTGTGATCCTTTGCCATTGTACGAGCTGGGAATATTAGTGCGTTTCGGTCAGTCGACCCCACTCATTTTCGTTCTCGATAACCTCCGCTGATGCTGTCGCTCTTCATTTAAATTGTAGGGTGCAATAGTCATCCTATTTGATCTCATATGCCAGTCTCGTTAAACGAGCGATCCGCATTGGTGGTGGCGACCGGAGACGGAGCTGTCGAGGTGACTCATGACTCATTGTTTGTTTTTCTCCTCTCTAACTGGATGTGTGGATCAGATGGATTTATCCACGCACAATTGGAAGCATGCGCCGTCCGTTCCTGGGAAGGAGCAACTGATTCCGACTATTTTCGTAAAAGCACTAGAAACCATTCCTCAGCAAGTCTGCGACGATAACATGGAGGCGTTCGTTCCACTCGTCGAGTTGAACGCAATCGGCAGTGCGACGGAGGCCACATGCCTCATTCTCGGTGTTGACGAGACAGCACATAGCGATGCAGTACGTAGGCTCTTATCTTTCCCTTTTCAAGAATCGATGAAAGTCAACGTATTTTTTGTAGCAAAGTCCAGGGCCAAAAGCATCCCCTGGTGCAGTCTCCGGGGCAGGGGTATGTTGAGGCGCAGACTCTCGAGGTTGAGTAATCTTGATGCAGACTGAAAATGGAAAGGCGAAATTGATCGCATTTACGCTCGTCCGAAAAAGACCCGGCAATCCGGTGATAGCCTCTGTCCCAGACTCGGAGGATCTAGGTTACCTAACAGTTCGCCGCCGTCAATGCTAACCTCTACTGGATGGACAGATTGACGCGGGATTCCACCAACTGGGAAAAAAGACATGGGGATCCTGTGCATGTATAAAATATGGCACTGTGGCCTAGGCACCTGGAGCTCCGTTCGAATCGTGTCTGCGCTTAGAGCGAGAACTGATTCCGGCAGGTCAAAGTCACTGACTTGAAGCTTGAAGCACGAGTTGCCGAAGTAATGATATTGTATATTAGTGAACAGGCTAGTGCAGCGAATGGACTAAGTAGCTTATATAGTACTTAGTTCTTGGATGAGCTACTACGAAGCAAGTCTTGGCAAGTTAAAGGTTCCGGATGATTGGTGTTGTATGTCCTTATTTGCCAACGGCATGTCAACCTCCAATAGCCCCTCCCCTCGAAGGTCTGAACGACACGGTTATTACTTCTTCGAATTCAAACCTGTGACCTCACGGGTTCGATGGTATACATTGCGCTTACCACAGGAATGACATTGTGCTGCAGAACGCCACTTCCAGTATCATCAGGCATTTTAGTACACTGTTTCGCAGACGGGAAACCAGTCACGGTAACCGTCGACATGAAATGTGCCGCAGCGCAGTGGATGGCCAACTGATCATTTCTATGTGATTGGTGCCGAATGAAATCAATCACAGCTTCCCGTTCTGCGCTCACTGTGGCGCTTAGACTTCCTGTGGACGACTCATTGACGCCGTTTTGGGTATCAATATTGTGCCAACAACAATGATTATATTGTATTTTGTAAGAGTGTGGATGACACACTGATCACTTCAGTTATCTAATTTACGACCTTTATTTTATCTACAGGCTTTTCTGACAAGGGAGTGATGTATAGCATAACACTGGAAGGTAAATTATGCTCAACCTCCAGCGCTCTGATTGACCATCTCTTGTCAGGCTTCTTCGGATAATCAAGCTCGGTCCAGTCGCTTTTCAGATGCTACTCTCTACCATCTCTGCTATGCCGCCAGCTTTCCGGTATAAAAAAGTTGAAGGAAGGACGATGATCCCCCCAACATTCTTTGCTTATTTCCTCCGATCTCTTCGAAATATCACCAATGCCAAACGCAGAACGTATGTGATGATCTGTGGCAACTATATTATCCTTGTCGCGACTGACTATTTCGTATTTGAAATGGTAGAGAACAGAATGGGGTTGAACAACCTCTTGCAACAACGATACGGCACAAGTGCTGCTTCTCACTTGCGATGGGAAAGTGTCAAATATGGCGATGATCATAATCCTACTTGGACTTTTATTGTCTATAGTATGTGCTTATTTTTTGGCCTGGTGTTTTTTTTCACATTTTTGTATACTTAGTCGATAATATTGAGTACGGACGGGGTTCTGGCGGTGACAAGGGGTCTGCGAAGGAGATGGCAGCAGGAGTTGCCCTTATGCAGCTTCAAAGGCAGTGGGCTCATCTATTGCTCTAGATACTGTTGGAACCTGGGCCAAGAGAAGTTGCGAACGCATTCAGGCGACGTCGGACTCGTTGACGTCGGCCGTAGATCTACAATTCCAATTGTCACTTCCTTCACTACGATAATTCACTATACTGATTCCCTTGAAGATACGAGTCCATCTGTGCGACCATCTCAGTCCTTTTCTGAGACTGAGATTTATCTTCCGTCTTTCCGTTACAAAACAACGACTCGGAGTTAATACACTGTAGTCTCATTTTTTCAGGGCCTCTCGCTCACCTCTGAGCTGCATACTACAAATAGGTTGTCTTCTACTGTTGCTGCATCTAACTTACCGGTATATAAATTTTCCCGCTTCACATGTGTCAGCATGGCAGAACGATACGTAATTTCAATGCTTCTGATGATCAAACAATTCATTACATCCACCAGCACTGTGACAATTATAACATTGCACCCACATGCTCATAAGCTTCGGATTCTACTGCGTGCTACGCCTCAAAATTGTTATCTTTACCGACCAGCTGGCTACCGGAAAGCATTGGCAGGTAGGTACGATTTAAGTACTACTACCGTTGTCACATTCCTGTTGCTTGCATGTATCGCTTTGCCAGACTTGATATCATATTGACGTCTCTTAGCTGTTCAGAACGTCCAAATACAAATTCATGTTGCCTCACTTGATAACAACGTGATATAAAGCCGCTTTACGCGTGATCCATCTTCTTACACCTGCCGCATCAGCTCAATCCACCTGCGGACTGGCAGTCGGCAATTAATCATTTGCGAGGAACCGTTCCAACCATCCACCGCAGGGCCTGCCATATATCCTGGATAGGAAAAGCGCAGCGATTGCCACTTGGTTTTATTTATACAGCTTGGCAGGTTGGCCTGGCTTCTAGCGCCAAATGTACGAAATCCCGAAGGCGCAAATAGCCAACATTGGGTAGCGTCTGCCAATGAGAAAAAGCGGTTTTCCAGATCCGTCACTTTTTCACCTGAGTATGATCAGCACCACCGAGCGCGTATCTTGTTAATACATCATTTCCTCCACCTCCACAACCGTCGTGGCCGGTGAATACATGCTGCCGCGATGACCTTGCCAATCACCAAATTCGTCTGGCTGCCAGTTACGCCTGCTTCGTTACAGCCTCAGCTTGATGAACTATGCATATTCTGCAGATATAAAGGGAGTGACGTGGTTCAGCTCATCATCCGACAAGTCATACACACTTTCTACTTTCTACAACACTTATACCAAATTCTAGCAGCTATGTCTGGCGATGACCGTACGTCCTCTACTCATTTATTCGACATGCAGGATGTATCTGATCACTGACCTCCAGACCCCCGCACAAAGATGAACAACGAATTGCAGAGGATATATGGTCCCTCTGCACCTGATCATGTCAGGTGGGATGTCTATTCGCGAGGCTCTCCCAATGCTTTGACGTGGTATGCGACCGTCTACAGTAAGGTCCACCCACCTCTAGTAAAAGATGTATAGTACACTGACCAATATGTCATGCAGTTGATGATATAAATCACGGCGATGCTTCATCCAGAACCAGAGGTGGTGCTCAAGACGAGGCTGCGAAACAGGCGTATAACTGGCTGAGGTATGAAGTGTCCCGCCGATGAAGAATGACCACTCCAATATACATATGTCATCATTTTTATCCTCTTCCGACATCTAGCTACTTCTATTACTACTCAATACAGTCGTAATACAGCGCTGTCCATACTAGAAGTGCGCCTGTTGTGGGTTAAGAAATATAGGTACCCTTTCTTCTGCGATACCTCGATAGCCCGCTGTGCTTCGACGCACTTTTTGTGTCAGTAGCCCATGCGGTGGTGAGTAGAGGAGACCACAGGGGTCTGTCACACGTCCACTTAATTCCAAACGAGTCTCAAATTTTTCCTGTGTACAACAGACCTTTCAACGGTGAACTATCGGAATGGGATCAGTACACCGGGGCAATTTAGGGGTAAGGCTATAGTTAGCCTGTAAGACACGTGATGCGACACACCTTCAATAGAAGCTCAGGCTAAGTACTTGTCCCGGCCCACTAGTCCGATGTTCTAACTCCAAGGATAGCGTACTAGTTGATGTCATATGATCTTTTATCCCATCTCTGTTACCAATATTTCTGCCCCCATTAGCCCTCTGGTCTCGAAGCAATCGAAGACACCCGATCCACCACCTCCGACTCACAAACTACATATACTCCAAACCATGGCCCGCTTCTTCTAACTTATCATCATTCAAGCTAGCAGTTAAATGGAAGCCCATAACGGGTGGGAGTCTGATTTGCTTCCAGGCTGAGTAGCCTAAGGTTGTACTAATAGGCTATCATAGCGCCTCAAAGGCGGATGACCCAGTAATGCCTCCCAAACCTTGCGGGGAGGATGATTATCCTTGACTCAACAGCGAACAAGAAGGCCAATGGTAAATGGCGGCCACAAATCGAATGGCCGAATGACCGTGACACACCATACATTGTTCCCACATCGCGAAGTCCAACTTGAAGAGCACTGAACCATTTCGAGAATTGGCAACACCAGAGTTACAAGCACGATTCATATGTGGCGTGGGGGAAATATTGGCGCGGCCGGGCATGTGCATGAACACCGAATCATGGACTGGCGTCTGTCGTTGCCTTGAGGAATTCCCTCGTCTAGTTTCTATTGAAAACACTCATACCCACATTCTAGTAGCCGCGATGTCTGGCAATGACTCCCGTACGTCCTCTACTACTCATTCGTTCGACAAGCAAGATGTATCTGATCACTGACCTCCAGACCCCCGTACGAGGTTGAACAACGAATTGCAGAGGATCTATGGTCCCTCTGCACAAGACCATGTCAAGTGGGAGGTCTATTCGCAAGGCCCTCCCAACGCTTTAACATGGCATGCGACCATCTTCAGTGCGTTCGCCTGCTAGGGGAGTTAAGGATGCAGACAGATACTAACATCCTACATACAGTTGGTGATCAGAATTACAGCTACGCTTCGGCCATCACCCGAGGTGCTGCTCAGGACGCGGCTGCGCAACAGGCTTGTGAACGTTTGAGACGAGATGGATCTACCAGAAGCGACTGATGAACAACATCAATCAAGCTCAAAGCATGACGACTTGAGTACATATATGCCCTCATTTTCAACATCCACAATGTACATGGTTCTATTCCTCATGCTTACATTTTTCTATTATGCAGCTGTAACACGGCGCTGCTCATGCGAGCAATGCACTTGCGGATCGATAGACCGTTGAGTTTCGACTGCGGGTCAGTAGCCCGCCATCAGTGCGGTTATTGCGATATGGTATAAGGTTTATTATATACTAGTAAGTTTTGATACTAGTCACCTACGACTCAGCTGGCGATTTGGTGTGACAACTTGTCATAGACTCACAAGACCTTTAACCATCTGTTGATAATTTGATATGACAATATTGCGTAGAGTTGGACAAGTAACGCATGCAAATCCTGACATGTCGACAGTCGTACTATATTATTGGTTGTGTGTATATAAAATATTCGAATCAAACGAATGCCCAAGGATAAGCACAATCTGACTCCGAACATAACGATGGAAAGAGAACAATGTCCCCACCTCAATTGGCCATCCATTGACGCTCTTTTCTTCGCGATCGAACCTTCGCCCTGCGCTCACTCTCCTTGACACGACGTTCCTGCTCTTTGATATCTAAGAACATGTTGCCGACATCAATGAATTTGATTGCTGGGCGTCCAGGACGTTCGACAATAGTTGTCTTTGTCCTGTTCTCAGAAGTGGCAGTGGCTGATTTTGTGGCAGCTTCCAAAATGCCTGGCATAATTGGGTCCTAGTGGATAAATCAGCTCACTTGTATATCGAAAGAAAGAATTAACAAACCTTGCCCTCAGGCACAGTCTCCCAAAACATCCGCTGATACCTTTGTCGCGCCCAGTCAAAGCCACCGGCTTCTTCGTCTTCTCGATCGGCCTCGACCGCATCGTATCTATCGCTATCTATTTTGGCCACCTGCTGGTTGGTATCGTACTGCACGGGTACAGGCTTCGATTCATCAAGGGTAGTAAAAACCTTGGTTCGAGGCACGCCAAGGATACTTTCCATGCCTTGAACAAAACCTGTCTGTACGGGTTTACCCTGCAAGGGGTGTGAGCGCCGAGGTCACAAAAGGTACGATGTATGGGCTCATATAAGGAACCAGTGCCAGACGATGCAAGGCGCTTGAATTGCGCGAATAATGTATTTTCAAGGAAAGGGAAATAGTACTCACATCCTACACGTAATGACGGAATTTTCGGTGGTGAATCAGTGTGCTGTTCTTCATTGAATGTAGTTGCGATTTACCTGAGAAAGGTGTAAGCTTAGTTAGTATTTTTTCAATATTAAACGGCAGTAGAAGGAAGGTGTAGATCAGTAAGGTGCGTAGATTTAACCATGTATGTGTCTATAAGACTAATCGAATTCACGTTGCTCATCACGTTCTTGAGAAAGAGAGGAAGTCCGAGATCTCACCTTTTTCCACGATTGTTCTAAACCTTTCAGTCGTAGAATAGCATCGATACGTTTGATGCTGAGATGATGTCTGGCAGCCAGAACGCGCACTGAATTAGCCTCGGGATCAGCCATGTAGGAAAAATAGATATGAGTGCGTAAAGCATCCGAAACAGGCGGAGGGGGACGGAATGATTGGTTAAGAGGGAAAGGCTGACAAGAAGTGAGTACAATAATCATCGTGGTATTAGCCTGAGCATACCGTTCCTGAGCCAAGCCAATTCCGCGGCGCGGAATCGCGGTACTTAAGACCGGCACCTGCTATCCAGTTTTCGTATGAAGGAGTTCGTGGGGTTTCGGCATCGTCTGGTAAGTTCAGGCCCTCTAGGATGGCCTCGCCAAGAGCGTCATCTTCGTCGTTTGCCTCAAAATTTTCATCCTTTCCTGCGACGAAGGACTGGAAGAATGTTCTACGCGGACATCCGTGAGCAGATGGTAAACGCAAGGTGCACTTAGATGACGAAGCTGAGATACGCAAACGAGTGAACATTTGGGCGCAGAACGCGCAAAAAATTTGAGGCATTTCTGGTTGGCATCACGTGATCACTCTAGGGCAGGTCTCAGATCGAGTTTAACTTAATCATAATCTGCACTGGGCATCGACGGTTTATGGAAGATGTCCATGACATTTACAAGCGATGCATGCTTTGGAAATGATAACGGACTATTGATCTTACTAAAGGGATATTCTGCATTGATTCCTCCACTTCATCTCAAATTTCCTGTTCAATATTCATTCACTCAGGTACACGCTTTTCTTTTACACCAAGTTCTGTTCGACCAGCACTTGGAGCAGTATTCACCTTCCGAGAGATACCAACAATCATTTTGGAAGTGGGCAATCGAACACCTGGAACGAATGGACAAAGACTCGGACGAAGAGGTTAGCTATAATACTACAATACCATCCGAGCAGGCAACTCATTCACAATTGCACATACTGAAGGACGGCGAAATCGACACACGAATTTATGAGCGTTATTTGTCCCTTATATCGCGTTCTATGTAGGTTTATTTACCAGGACAAGGTACCTATAATCACCTCCATTTTATATTCCACTGCACAGCGATCCTAGTGGTCCCCCACCAGACTCGTATATGACATATTACTGGAAGCCTTCAAGTTCACTTGGTTCTGCCAATCGAAACAGTTACGAGACCATAACATTACTTGAGTCTCGCACCACCATCGAGAGCGGAACGACAGGGCTTAGGACCTGGTATGCAAGCTTCGTCCTTGCCAGTTATCTCATTGCGAATGTCGGTACGGTAGACACAACATGCTATTCCTCGACCGGCCTTCATATTTCTTCATGCAACCAGAAACAATTTGTGATCAGACGGTTCTCGAGCTTGGTTGTGGATCCGGTTTTCTTGGGATTATTGTGGCGACAATACAACAGACATTTAACAAGCGTCGCCAATCACATCATCAGCCGTTGCCTGCGGTACTACTGACCGATGTGAGTGCCGGAGTGCTTTCAAGGTGTCGAGACAATATTCGACTTCGTTGCAGTGAGTGATCCCATTTAACGTTCATCCTTATAACTCTTCAACGGGTAAATCAGGTTGATGTACTCTGCCCTGCACCCTTTCAGTCTTTTTTTTTCTGTCTCATTTGTCTTGATCAACTCATGCCGTATTCCGAATGTGCTGTCTTTGCTTACTGTCGCGTAGATCAGTCATCAAATCACCCAAATATCACCTTCTCCACTCTTGATTGGTTCGATGCTCTTTCCCTGCCACTCGGTGAGAACGCGGTGACAACCTTTTTATCCAAAGCGGGCGCGGGCATTGTGATTGGTGCTGATATAGTAAGGCTCAAATTCGCCGTTACGTGACTGCCACTAACCTAGCCAGGTATTTGACCCGATTCTGGTCCCACCTCTGGTTGCAACATTGCGCCTTGCACTTTCCTTCGAGAGTACTCGAATGGTAGTGATGGCGCTAACAGTCAGAAATGAGCAGACCCTTGCGTATTTCGTGTCTGAAGCTGGTGAGCAGACCTCAACCTTTGTCGTGTGGTGAATTCAACATTCAAGTCGCTTAGTAAAAGACCTTCGTGTAGAGGAAGTTCCGCACGCTTTTACCTCAGCTACATACTTTGATTTGGATACCGCCGGAGTGGATGCTGGTCTTGATGTGAAGATATTCAAATGCACGCTCTGCAATTCGGCATCATAATCAAATTCGCGTTGCATTCTACAAAAGAGTTACTCTCGGATAACACCATTCGACTTTCACTCACTCGGCCAGTCACACAATGCCACGAGTAGCCTCCTAGGTCACCATTCCTGGAGGGATGGATGCACCGATATTTATATTTATTCTTTTTTGAGTCCAATTTATGGCCTTTGGAGAGTAGTACTCTATGTAGGACAGTATGTAATGTCTGCATTAGGCAAGCCTACAATGACAATAAACGGGAAAAAAAAGTAGGACAGTACGTTCTAGTCTAAGGGTCCCCCCACTGCGCCGATCGCATCTCTGGGTGCGCGAATGCCCTGGCGTGAGGCGTGCCCCCACCAGTCTGCCCTTCTCGCACCGATATTGTTTATTCGTTGGTAACCGGTCCTTCGTCTCTTCCTGACCCATCCAAGCATCAAATTCTTTCATGGATAATGCTGCATCAGGCGCCTGAGCTCCGATTCCGGAATCCTAGTCTCAAACTCAATTGGGCACGGGGGGGTATCTGATACCGCCCCATTCATGAATCCTATGTCATTCAACGGCTTCGTGGGATCCAGAGTGAGCTGGAAGGCCCATAAGATGAGGAGCGAGTTGATAAACACCGATCTGTGCCGACCAAAGTGAGTTCAGAAGACGATGTGCGCGGAAGAGTAGCTTCACCTGTTCGCGACATGTTGACCGGGACATACGCTGAAAGCGATGTCATGAGTCAAAGAACGAATGGCTGAAAGGCAATGCTTACCGCCGGCCAAAGCCATAGACGAAGAATTTCAAGTCATCTCTCAGGCGACCTTGATCGTCAATCCAACGCTGAGGCTTGAACTCTTCAGGCTCCGGGTAGACGTCAGGATCTCGAGAGATCGACCTAAGACAGTGACCGTCAGATCCTTGATATTTGGAGGCACGATGCTTACCAATGGTCGGCGTACAATGTGGTCCCGGCTGGAATGCAATAATTTTCCTGATGGGCCGTATCACTATTCGTGCGATACGCTGTTAAATATCACTTGCCCATATGACGTCGTGAGTTGTTCGGTGAGCCAATGCTGCGGTGTGAATGTTGTGAAATGTATGTAGGAACCAAACCAAAAGATACCCACCACCATTAGGCAAGGGTGGTCTCCATCTCAAGGCCTCAGAGATGAATGCTTGCAGGCGAGGAAGGGATTCTTGGTCGGCGAATGTTGGCGCTTTGATGCAAATGATATTGAACGATAGCACTGCAATAGTGAATCCAAGCTACCTTGGTGCCTTCCGATGACTGCATCGAGTTCAGCCTGAACTTTAGTTTGCTCCTCAGGGAAACGTGCGGCTGCCAAGAGTACCGCGCATATTGCCAGAAAAGTCTATCGTCTGGTTTCAACCAAATACATTCGGAGGCAGAAAAACAACACCTTACCGTGCTGGAACCAGCCGAAAAGAAGGTACCACTAAGAAAGGCCATCTCGGTCTCTGTCAAACCATAGAGATGGTCATTTTCTAGCATATATCCCATGAACGAAGGGCCAATGTCCACGTCCTTCTGCTATGGAATGGCTCAGACATGAGGTGAAGATCGAGAAGGGAGTGTATACCATTTTCTCTTTCACGAGGTTCAGCCGACCAATGTTGAGTTTCTTTTCCCTCTCAAACTCTTGTTTCAAGTCTCGTGCATACCAAGGAAGATATTTGAGCCACGGGATCACGTCTACTAGGTAAGCGCCGGGACGCAGGATCATTGCCCTCTGAACGAACTGAATGCGTCGACGAAGTGCAATAACATCGGGATCTGTCGCAGATGTAGGGGCAGTCTTGCCATATGCAACCTTCATGATTGTTGTTGCCGCATAACTTCAACTCGCCTGTAAGCAGAGTGCGATCATCACCAAAAGCACTTACGTTGTCACGTGGTTCTGGAAGTTGTGTGGATCATCGAGAATGCCGAGAACTGTGTTGCTTGCATGTGACATCTGCAGGGGCTGATACACTTCAGCTGCTTTAGGCTGTAGATGCGAATGAAGTGCTCTGCATCACGTTGATGAGTAAGATAAATGAGGGAAAGTAAATATCGCGAATTACTGACCTACGCATCCGACGGAACCTGTCCCCAAACGGTGAAAAGACTATACTCATTCCGCCATTAAATATTTCTCCACCAGCAATATTGCGGGGACGGTCAGCTGTGAATTTCCCCTGGTTCTCCATAATATCCACGGCAGCCTGCGACAGGTTGTTAAGCCTGGATATCAATATCCAGCATGTACCAGGGACCAACTTTGTAACGGCCGATCAAAACCACCCTCTCGAACCCTGACCGAATGGTGACCACAGGACCGTATTTTTCAATCCATCCCGCTATAGTGAGAGATGGGCTTATCGGCAATATGACATAAATCAACATTCAACGTCCAAGACCCAATAAGGTGAATACAAAAGTTTACAAAAGTTGCGGCAGGAAGTGCCCCTTAAGTCTCCAAGTGGGAGGGGAAGGTGGGAGAGGAAGACCGCTCTCTGATTTAGCAAGGAACGCCCGAGCAATTATTCCTACCACAAGGAGACAAACTGCAGCACTGGGGACGAGCTGCGTGTTGTCGGCGATGTGCAGGTCAGGTAGTTTTAGCATGGTTGATGGGGTACAAAGAAAGATTGGAGGGAATTCGTTGTAAGTCACGAATCATGATGTAATCGAGTGATGAATGGCTCTTTAAGTACCCCATAGGTGATCCGTACCTAGGTGGGAATATGACCCTGAAAATGGTCACTGATGTTCAGACATACTACAGATCGTTTGTCTAGGAAAGACAGCTGCCGACATGAATCCGCCGATATCGATACTGCCAGCATATGACGGTTCGCACGTGCCTGGTAGCACCTAACCAGCACCATCGACAATCAATCGATCATACCCCCGTCCCATCGCACGAAGTTACAGGGTAGCGGGACCTTCCGGCAAGGTTTGGGCAGAGCAGGAGTGGACCACTGGAGGCCCAGACTCCTGCATATGACGCGACACGTCATCAATAGCAGCCTCTCGAGAGTCAATGCTGACCGGTCCAACATCCGGAAGAAGGCAATGACGTCGACAACTAGGCAGATACTTGGTGTGGGTGATTGGGCGGCAGCTCAGCGTTTAGCTGGGAGTCAGGACTGAGTACTGAGTACTCAGTCTCGGATTGAAGATTGAGCAAAGGCAAGAGATATAAAAATGGATTTGCACGTCTTGCAAATGCTAGCGGCCCGTCAAGAAGGAATAACTGTCTCATATAATCTGGCTAGAGAGACTGAACGGTCCGACAAGTCCAACGCCAGAGTGGTAAATACTACTAAGGAACGATCCGATCTTCCGAGTCTATGGCACGAAATAGTGACGTATCACGCAATGTCAAACAAGGGCGCTTAGCGCAGTGGTAGCGCGTATGCTTTGCACGAGCATCCGAATTGTATAAGGTCCAGGGTTCAATCCCCTGAGCGTCCATTTTTTGTTTGTCTTGGATTTCATTTGATGTCAGACTGCAATACAAGAATCAAGCATATACCATCGGTCATTTTATTGAGCATGTCGAGGGAGTGCTGGCACTGGTCGGTGAACTATGTTTGATCGAAAGCGAACACGCAACGAGATGACATAAGAGTACATGGCAGACGGTAATTCGTACGATTCAAAGTTCAATGGAGACGAAATAGAATGAAAAATAAAGAACCTGTGAATCGTACCAGATAAAAACAATACAGCAGGAACCACACATCGATATGAATGAACATCCTCTGCTCGAGTGGCACTTTCGTCTTTACCGCGTGTGCCCATGCCGCCTTCGTACAGTCCATGAAACAACCATCCTTCAAATCTTTGAACATATTCTCGTAGAACGCTTCGACAACGTATTTTGCGGCGGCGTCATCAGTCTCCCACAGCGTGCCAGCCACGACCCTACTCCATGAGTTCGACTGCGCATCGTAGATCGTCACGACGGATGGTTCATGATAATGCATCTACAGGCAGCGATATGACACAACTGAATGCAGCGGCGACTTCGCATCGTGAAATTGTTGATGATCGCGCTGCTAAATAGGGTCGAAACTGTTGTAGGCCTCTAGCACAGATGTAGGACTGCCGCTCGGCTGCAGTGACCCAGTTCCAGGCTGTTATAATGCGGTATGGAAAGCCTTGAGTAGGGTGTCTCGATGCCAATCTGAAGTTCTCTGCAGCGAGTGATAGGCCGGTAAGGTTGTGTTGCACTTGGTAACGAGACAGGTAGATTTCCTGAAGCCGTATGTAGCTTAGATACATGTCAGAATGCTGTGAGGGCAAAGCCTTTAATAATTCCCGGCACAGATTAATGGCCTCCTCAGCATCCTCATTTGTCCGAGTTTGCATGCTTTGCGGAAGAGGGAAGTGGTGAAGTCGATGTCTTGAAAATCATTGCAGATACACCCTTGAAGGCCGGTATATGCGAGGTTGGTAAGAGCCATGGCGTGGTCAGGACGGCCGACTGAATGCTCTACAGCACCATTCAGATGAGAGACCGTCTTGCTCGTCATGTATCCGGCAAATCGTGCATCTCTAGCAATCTTGTGGCAGCCTATGGGAGACTACGGTTGGCGTTCCATCGGTAAAAGCTAGCAACAGGAGTCGTCACTCACATCAGACAGTGCGCCATCCTCATTGTCGCAAGTATATATAATAACGGCCTTCAGCGCGAGGGAGGGTGTACATTACGAACAGGGGGGAAAGTTATATCTACAAGATGTTAGTAGATGTGCATGAATAAGGAGTAAACGCTCACTTACCAAAAGTTTTATCTCCATGATCAGATAGCTCATTCCACGACGTTTGAATGACTTCATGAGACGAGAGTGGGGATATGGGGAGTGAGGGGACAAGCTGTTCAAGTCGTGCTGAACAGTTGTTCGGTACGATAGACTTAATTACATTAGGCGCTGAGAAAGGGAGCCTGTGCTAAAAGAAGTACGTGGCCATGGCAGTTATCAGGGAACGTGGCGCGCCAAGGAACAGCATTGCGTGATAGTCGCTACTTCTGAACTTTTACCACCGAGTCCAAACTAGTACTCATTAATGAGCACACAAGGTAAGACCTGCAGTGCAAAATTGCCGAACACGATAAGTCGGTGATAGCCGAAAGCGTCGGCTGACAAAGCGAACGCAAATAGGAGTACGCTCCAAGCTAGGATTAGTCATCGCTCGCGTCGTACGCTCCCGGCGTCTCGCTCAGGCTCAATCTAAGAAATCTGACTCAAGCGAGCGAGGTTCTCATCTAGTAACTCTGGCGATAGGACGACTATGCGATAATTAGGATTAGAGGGTCAGATGTACAACGATTGACCCTGGTATTAGAAATGGAAAACCAATGATCAGTGTATCACCTGGAGTCTAGATGGGCCTCGGCGTACATTATCTTCTCCTTGCCAACTTCCCCTGGTGGTAAACCTATTGTCCATTGTCATGTATGGTAAGTATAGGTGAGTGCATGCTTGAAAAGTAAACTAAGGTTTATATGCTGCCAAAATGCGTACAGAGAGTGGATGGTCATGCAGATTGAAAGGTACTAAATTTAAAATGAATGCAGGGCAGAGGCGATCGCGGTATAGACGGAGAACTCTTCCTGGAGTTGCAGAAATGCAGAAAAGGCATCATGTTCCTGGAGAAGCCGAATGTCGAAGTGTGCGCGGAAATGGAATATGCGAGTGTGTGAAGGGGAATGAATCACTACCAGGCAGCCAGACTACCATACCTGATGCTGAATAGCACACAGGCCACGGCGACACCACATATAAGTGAGATATTTCTAGACCTGGTATTTGAATATAAGCGTCTCGAATCTAAACATGAATCAGCCATCACAACAAACAGGAACGAAGTGAAGCCCTCACCAGGGGAATTGGATATTAAGGGGGGAGTGAGCATCATATTCCGAGGATTTAGCTTTGAATGTGATACAAAGTCGCGGTGCCGGTTGAGGTCTAGAGCAAGCTGGAGAGCGCACAATATCTCATCATTTGAGGAGCCTTCGGAGGGTCTTTCAGAGATGGGAATGATGCAAAGCTCGTCTTCTAGTTTCCATGCTCTCGTTTTTGAAGGAACGACGCAGCATTGAAAGTGTCGCAGGACCTTCCAGACTAAAGCATCAACCTCCTTGGCACCGGCACGCGATGTTATCATCGCTTCTATTTCACGCGTATAAAGCGAGGGTGAGGTAGTCGACAGATATGTTGCGGCAACTTGACGCAAATGAAATATGAAGTAGGGCGGCGGATCATAGTCAGCTAATGGGGAGCGGATTTTGGCATCGACGCATGCATCGGAGTTCCACCGATCACGAGCACGAGCGATCTCTGGCCGCTGGTGCCCTCCGATTTTGGCGCACCAACAACCGCCAGTGACCCTTATTTCAGGCCAGTCTGACACGTTTGGACCGTAGACGTGAAGATTATAGGCTTTACAGCTATCACAAAGGTCATCGAGGGCGCTCTGTAAGCTGTGATTGAGCGATCCGAGTAAAGAGGCGGAGAGTGTGAGATGTAGATGGGTGAGGATACGAAAGCGGATCTCGATGGGCAGCATAAGAGGTAGACACGACATTGTAGTGAGTTCTGGAGATACATATGCAAGGACAGCATGTATGAGTGTCAGTCGAGTGACTCGTAAGCAACTGGGAGGGGACTCCATGGGAGATCAAGTCAAGTGGTGCAAGTGGTGGTGGGTGAATATAAATCCAGGGGAACAATTATGTTTGCGAGTTGAAATGCGGCGTTCGGTGTGCGGATATAAAGCCTCGAGGAAGGGACATGAGGTGAAGTATTTGAATGGACGCAAAACAAATATCCAACGAAAGGATCATATCTCCTTCTTCGAGATGCGACATCGTAGAAGCGCCACACACACGGTCACAAGACAATACTTGCACTGTGTGAAGTTCCCACCCAATCATAGGACGGTGTTTTGAACTAGACACATAATGTGCCAGTCAGAGGGAGAACAAGGAGGAACCACTGGCTACATCATACTTCGGGCGAAAGGGATTCGAAGACAGAGATCAGCAACTGGAAATACCTTGCTTCTCCGAGTCTATCATGGAGGAGACCTGACGACCGCGAACTAAAAGACTCGCCAGTCAGAACTTTTGGGGCGCTTTTCAATCGACTATTCTGGATTGGCTTGAGGAGTCATGCAGCCAGGAGATTAAAACCAGCTTCTGTTGGAGTGAGTTGGTTGTCTAGTAAAGTGATGGAAGTTTCTTCAGAGAAGAGAATAACCGCAGCACCGTGCCTTTAAGCCGATAGCATCCCCATTCGTAACCCTAACCTCAATCTAGGTTTCGGCCTCCCGAACACAACGGTCAGCGCTTAACGTTCTCACCTCACGACACCATCCGTTAGAATGATTCTCCTTCGCCCACCGACAGGCAGAGTGCTTAGGTTAGGGACCCTGTCACGTCCGATGTCTTCGGTTCCTACCCTGCCACTTCACCCGCCATCATTAGCCGAGCAAAGCGCTACCTTCGATGCTCGCGTTCAAGACGTCTCCGCTTTCTTTTCTTCCCCCCGATTTGCTTCTATCACCCGTCCCTATACCGCTCATGATGTAGCACTAAAGCAGGGTTCCGCGCCTGTTCTTCCCCTGCCATCGACACTCCTTGCTAACAAGCTCTTCGCCTTATTCACTGAGGCAGCTTCTAATGGTCAACCTGTGCCTACCATGGGTGCTATTGACCCCGTTCAAATGACTCAAATGGCAAGGCATCAACAAGTCGTATACGTTTCTGGTTGGGCTGCAAGCTCAGTGCTAACTACGGGCAATAATGAAGTTGGTCCTGATTTCGGGTAATGACCGCCGGATTATGTGCATGTTCGCGCTCTTCTCATCTACATCGTATTAGAGATTACCCTTATACAACCGTACCAAACCAAGTTCACCGTCTCTTCCGTGCGCAGCAACTTCATGACCGGAAGCATTACGATGAACGTATGTCCGCATTGCTAGAAAAGCGTGCAGAGATTTCGTATATCGACTATTTACGACCAATTATTGCGGACGGTGATACTGGGTAAAGACAGCACCTTACTTAGTCTTCATATGTAACTCACAACGTCTTAGCCATGGAGGGACCTCTGCCGTTATGAAACTCACAAAGCTCTTTGCGGAGTCAGGTGCTTCAGCCGTACATTTCGAGGACCAACTTCACGGCGGAAAGAAATGCGGACACCTTGCAGGGAAAGTTATTGTTCCCCCAAGCACACATGTATCACGGCTTGTCGCGGCCCGTTTCCAACTTGACATGCTTCTATCTCCGATGCTGCTTATTGGCCGCACTGATGCTGAAAGTGGCAAACTCCTTTCCACCAGCATTGATCCTGTTGATCACCCGTAAGTCCTAATTTTCAAGTTAGAACCAAGTATCGATCTAAAACACGTCACCTTAGATACATCCTCGGTACTACGACGCAAGGACAACCTCTCAGTGAAGCTCTTGCGCGAGCCACAAGCAGTGCGGATGCTGCCAGAATCGAGAATGAATGGGATTCATCAAACGAGTTGATCACTTTCGATCAAGGCACGTATTCCTCAATGTCTTTTGTTCGCCGCATTGAGCATGCGGCATAGCCGTTGAACGAGTGCTATTGTCTAGCAGTACTTCCAACCCACGCGGCGTGTTCGAGCAGTACAAGAAGGCAGTGGCCGGTAAATCAAACTTTGAAGCACGTCAGATTGCTCGGGAGGCTGTTGGCCAGAATATCAACTGGAACTGGGACCGTGAGTACGACTGCCAATGCCTCGAGGTGTTCACTCATCTTTGGCAGTCCCCCGCACACCCGAAGGCTTCTATCGAACTACTGGTGGCCTTCAGGCAGCCATCGACCGTGCCCTTGTGTATGCACCATACGCAGACTTGCTGTGGCTGGAAACCGGTAAGCCAGACTTAGTGGAGGCCAGAACCTTTGCGAGAAAGATCCGGGAGAAATACCCTGGCAAATGGTTTGTATACAATCTGAGCCCCAGTTTCAACTGGTCGCAGGCAGGGTTTAGCGGTACGTTACTCCCCAACAGTAATGTTCTTTGTCTGAGAGCGCAAACGGCTTGAGCAGATGCAGATCTCAAGAACTTTATATGGGAACTCGGAAAAGAAGGGTGCGATAGTTGGCATTTTACCCCGAATGTGACTGCCTCATTGATGAACCTAGATTTGTTTTGCCACTAATTTCCCTTGCTGGGCTGCACACTAATGCTGCTGCTACCGGTACGTTTCCTCCTGAATGCTAACACTACGACGCTTACAATGGATATCCACCCAGCTGAGCTCGCTGCACGGTTCAAGGATGACGGCATGCTTGCTTATGTGGAACTTGTGCAACGCAAGGAGAAGGAAATCGGCTGTGATGTTCTCACCCATCAAAAGTGGTTTGTGTCCTTTTCCAAGTTCTGTTCCCGATATGTTGTCAACGCTTACGATACAGGAGCGGAGCCAATTACCTTGATTCGATCATCCAGACTGTATCTGCGGGATCGTCAAGCACGTCTGCCATTGGGAAGGACTCGACGGAACATAGTTTTTGATCCTTGACCAATCAGTATTGTGCAGACACAAGGATATATACTAATTGGACTTTCTGCTTGTGGCACTAGTGTTCTAGCCCCATACCAGCCTCGAAGAACCAAGAGTGATATTTGATTACATGGCAATGTCATTTCTGCTTGAAGAGCTTACGCGAGATGCAGATCGCTGATGACTTGGCCGCAACTTTGTGCCAAGTACACATCCGTTCAACGCCGCTCTGACTCAGATGAGTGTTCCAGACACATGCCATATGGCACGCTCAAAAGATGCTGTGCTGTGAATCGATACTACTAACCTGGATTTATCCAATGTCGAATTTTGCAAAGAACCACGCAATAGCGTACTCGGCCATGAAAAATCGAGGGACATTAAGAAGCGACCCTGCTGTTATTATGCAATGAGAAACCATCAGCGGCCAAGTACCGCGATGCCGCCTGCTCTGAGTCTCAGGTTATACATATTTTCCCGGGCATATCTTGCAACAATATTTGATGATCCTGTTGGAGCTGGGATGGAGAACAATGCCCCTGAAATGGTGTACCTATCTACTAGTGTGCCTTCTCGGATATCGTTGCTGATGCTAACTTGATGGTTGCTACAAGGACTTTACAAGAAAGATGTGCTCACGCAGTCAGGTTGCCTTAAAAGCTTGACTCGGCACGCTTGCAGAAATGTACATGCGTTCCCACTGAGCTTTGAATAATCTGAAGCATTAGGCTTTCAAAATTTCAGCTGCTACAAGTATCATGCATTGCTTAGCATGTATCCATGCTAGACTTGTCCAGTTCGTGGTTTCGCCCCAAGTGAATCCAATTGTATGCAATGAAAGTAATAATAAGATATGGTAATGAAGCAAAGCGATGATATGTAATGTAAAGATGTGGGAAAGCAAAAAGTAAGAGCAATGATGCAACGACCGCAACAGTGAGACAAAAAAAAAAAGTAAACCCTACCTGCCAAGAACGAAGGTCAATCTTGATCAAGTGTTTGATAGGGATAAGACAAGTTCGGGTATAGGCGGGGCGAGGAGGACACTAGCTCATACTGTGCCGATTCAAAACTGCTATCTACTTTGGAATGGCGAGGAGGAGCAGGAGATACAGAACCTGAGGGTGGTAGAGGTGAAGATGTCTGCTGTAAGGACGACGATGTTCGCGAGTGCGTCCTAGATGGGAGGGCAAAGTCTTGAAATGACGTCGAAAGATTCGATGAGGCTCCCATTTTAGATCGTCCAACAGACCTTCTTCGCTCAAAAATACCACTGCCCGTTCGGGCGTGATTTGAAGGCAGATATTGCTCAGCAAGTTTCGGGGTTGGGGGTATCCCAGCATCCAAGACGCTCGGCCTCCGAGGCTTTATGGTCTCGTTAGACACAGGTCTTTCAGTATCTCGCCTTGGTTCTGAAGGAGCACTGGAAGAGGCTGTGGAGCCTGATACTGATTTCCAGGTCTTGAGAATCGATTTACGAACGCTGGTCTTTTCCGACGAAGGAGTTGTTGGAGACGATGGTCGTGTGGGTGTTCGTGGCATAGCTGTTGCGGGCACAGGAGGCAATCCTTTTTGCAGCGGTGGGGGCGGCCCGAGTTGATCATGCAACGATGAAGAAGGCGGTACAAATCCCTGGAACGAAGTTCGATTTGGCGTGGGAGGTTGCTGAGCCGACACTGACGCAGACTTGCTTCTACGCCAAAGTCTCTTGAAAGTCTTGACGCTGACGAGAGGAGTAGAGGTTTTTGCAGTCACAGAGTCCATCGAGAAACTTTCTGAATCAGCAGAGAATCGGCTAGAGGGTGTTGTAGAAGCAACAGAACCCTCATCCACAGATGACAAAGATGGTCTGGATTCGACAGGAATACTGGTGAATTGCCCAGTTGCAGGATCCCAATAAGTCGGGGTGGAGTGTGCCTCTGACTCGAGATAAGAGGGGTAACGACCAAAAGGATCAGGAGACAACGGAATGGGGGAGTCAGTCGCCGTATCCGATAGCCTTCTAAATGAAGGGGGCAAGGGTGTTGGGTACATGGACGGCTCCAAATCTCGTTTGCGAATCTTGGTCTCTGTGGAGAGAGTATTTGGTGATGAAGACCGCGAGGGTGGAGCGAATGATTTTGGGGCACCTGTTGACACACCGTTGATAGCAAGCTGAGGTGGTGACGGACTGAGATTTGAAGGCCGATGTGATTGGGAGCTTGGAGATTGTGATGAATTATTAGTGATAGATGAGTAGGAGATAGCAGGCCACGATTTGTCGCTTGCATCGGCATGATCGATAGAGTTTCTGAGGCTTTCTTAAGCCGAAAAACTATGGACAGTTGAAATTGAACTCACCCTGTCGCCTGAAAGTCACGTGTACGATCAACCGATAATTTCGAAGTTCCTTCTGCATGAAGTGCGAGAAGCGACTTCGTTCGGGCATGAGTTATCGTAATATCTTGGTCCAAGTCATCCGTTTTGATGTGTCTCGGAGAAAACTGTGCCAAAGTCTAGTTTCCCAGATGTCAGAATCACGAGATGAGCACATGTATTACTTGCATACCCGTTCAATCTCGTCAAGTTTGGCTCTCATGAGATATTGGCTTCTGCGTTGATCATTCGGATCATTCTCGTCGTACTACGAATAGAGTTAGTTCACTGGCAAGCCATAGGACTGACAGCGGAAACGCACTTCTTCGTCTTCATCTCCCAGATCTAAACCAAGATTGAGGTCCTCAAAAACTGCGCCGCCGCGCTTTTCTTCAGGACTCCGTGATCGCATATATTCTTGGTCCATGTCCAGAGAGACTTCATCATCGTCACCTGTCTCATCCTCGACCGGCGTCCCTCTTGAACTTGCATGCTCATAAGGCGGATTCGTACTGTCATCCCTACTGGAGAATGATAGGATCGGGCTCGGTCCAGTATGCAGGACGAGGCTATTTCTTGTGTCGTTGGGAGCAAGGACTAAAGGATGGGGAGGTGATTTCTTAGCACTTCCTGCGGGGGGTGACGACAGTTGCTGCGAGCTCGGTGAAGATGGTATCGACAAGGTCAACGTGGGCTTTGACATCCTGCGCATGATATCCCAAACCTCTTGCGGATCATCCACCTCATCTCCCGCTTGTTCCTGTTCAGGCATGGCAGTGATTGAGGATACATCCAATGCAAGCTCGACTATATTTGGATTGACCTCGGACTGATTGCCCTGCGATTCAGTGCGCATCTCAGCCCAGGTGTCTGCATCACTGCCGAAGATGTCCACAAGAGGATCATGATGACAGATGTCAGTCTCGCATGTAGTTATGTTCTCATCAACTTCTTTATCCGTAGGATCTGGCAGGGGAGTATACCCGCCATGGCCACCTTCCTCCATTGTTGTGTCTTCTTCAATCGCTTCGTCCGTGGAATCTGACAGGGGAGTATACCCACCAGTACCGCTCTCCTCCATTGCTGTGTCTTCTTCAACTGCTTCGTCCGTGGAATCTGACAGGGGAGTATACCCACCAGCGCCGTTCTCCTCAATTGTTGTGCCTTCTTCAATTGGTTCGTCCGTCGAATCTGACAGGGGAGCATACCCACTAGTGCCGCTCTCCCCCATTGTCGTGCCTTCTTCAATTGGTTCGTCCGTCGAATCTGACAGGGGAGCATACCCACTAGTGCTGCCCTCCTCCATTGCCGTGCCTTCTTCAATTGGTTCGGTGGAACCCGACAAGGGAGCATACCCACTAGTGCCGCTTTTTTCCATTGTCGTGCCTTCTTCAATTGGTTCGGTGGAACACGACAAGGGAGCATACCCACCAGTGCCGCCCTCCTCCATGGTTGTGTCTTCTTCAATTGCTTCATCCGTAGAGTCCGACAGGGGAGCAGTGACACCCTCTTCCCTTGTTGTGTCTTCTTCAAGTGGTTCGTCCGTATGATCTAACAGGGGAGCATACCCACCAGTGCCGCTCTCCTCCATTGTCGTGCCTTCTTCAATTGGTTCGTCCTTCGAATCTGAGAGGGGAGCATACCCACTAGTGCTGCTCTCCTCCATTGCCGTACCTTCTTCAATTGGTTCGGTGGAACCTGACAAGGGAGCATACCCACCAGTGCCGCCCTCCTCCATGGTTGTGTCTTCTTCAATTGCTTCATCCGTAGAGTCCAACAGGGGAGCAGTGACACCCTCTTCCCTTGTTGTGTCTTCTTCAAGTGGTTCGTCCGTATGATCTGGCAGGGGTGCATACCAACCAGTGCCACCCTCCTCCCTTGAAGACAGTGACGCAGTAAAGCTGGGCACAGAGCTTGCATTCTGCATCCTCTCCACTAATTTTAGATCGAATGGCACACGTTTCTCATCCCCATCTCCTTCCGCATGTGGTTGAGAATGTGATTGATTACTTTGACGACTCTCGGCACGTTTAGCATGGGTCATTCGACGGCCACGCAACCATGGCTCGTACCACGCTGCTCTCCGTCGATCAATATCGAACTCCACTTTCGCAAGTATAGGTATTATAGAGGGTGAATTAAGACCTGGGAGGCCAATGCCAAGTATGTCGTGATCAGAAGAATGGGAGGTATCTGGGGTATCTGGTTCTGAGTGTGTCAGTGATGAGGATGATAGAGGGGTAGATTTAGAGTGAGACCGAAGATCGGATACTGAAGACGTGGTAGACGATGGAGTAATTGGGTACGTGATAGGTTGCGGTTGCGGCGTTTCCGTCCGTGTGGGGGTGACCAAAGGGCGTAAGTTGGGCTGGCCCAGACCAAACGGACTAGAGCCTTGTCCCCGCGAAAGTGCGAGAGATTCTTCACGCTCAGCTTTCAGAACCCGACCCCAGATATGTTTCCAGATTTCTTCGGAGATGCGTGGACCTGGTTCCTCTGCGTCCTCGTTTCCTGAATTAGGGGTGGCATAAGGCATCGGACTGTTCTGGCGGCTCTGTGGGGAAGTGGTAATAAGGTACAGGATGAGGCCGATTGTGCTAGGTAATGCGTATTCTTTGGCAATTGCATTAAGTTGCGCATGCAGCGAGGGCTGCAGAGAGACGAGGGTGCCGCGTCGGAACTGTGTGTGATACCCTGATGCATTAGGAGGAGGCGCAGGCTCCAATGGGTCGGACGCATCGAAGTCGTGAAGGAGGTGAAGAGGTGGTATGATATGGAGCAGGAACTTGGACTGAGATGAAGACGCAAATGATCCAACATGATGAGTAGATGCAGTAGACGGTGTCGTCACGCGCCAGGGAAGATCAGTATGACTTATGGTGGGAGATGCACCAGGAAAGGAAGCAGACAAGTATGAAGATGAAGAATTAGGTCCTGCGGGAGAAGGTATAGAGACTCCCAGGGCATTAGCGATCTTCGCAAGACGATGCGGGGGTAAAGGTGCACGAGGCGGAGCCCACTGCCCCGGCTGAAGACTATATGGGTTTCCAGAGACATGAGAATGTTCTGTTGTCATGACTTTCGACTGACAAGAAGTGGTGTCGACTGGTTAGACCTCCTGGCCAGGCAGCTCAGCACGAGGCAAAGAGAGTAAATTGGTCCTTGGGTGTCACACTGAGCGGTGTTGGAATCAGCAACGTTAACCTAGGTGATTGTGTTCTGAACCCATCATCATACGCAGGGTCAGCAAGGCGGTCTTGGAGTTCAGAAATATATGAACGAACATTGGCGTGACTATTCCAGGAGAATTCATAAAATAAGAGTCCTTTGTCGGCCACCTCGCTCAAGGTCAAGGCTAGTCGTACCTTAAGGCCTTAAAACAAACTTTAAGACTCGGAGGGTACACTACATGGGGCACGCTTAAAGCTTTGCAAACTTTCCATTGACAACTGTGAGAAACAATTTCTACTTGGAGATCTTTTTGTATTCAGCGTTTGCGAAGTTGACTATATGCTCAATGCCGACAAGGGCAAAGATTCTTCTAAAGTATATACCAATATACCAGGCCGCATAGCACCCACAATAACATCTCAGCGATACATTCCCCCATTCTTGAGGACACTTAAGAGCGGGCCCCGCTTGTGCTCGCTCAGTTCAACCTGAACTGCACGCTAACAATAATCCATCCACGCCAAATACAGGTGCAGGTTATTCCAGCGTATCAGCACCAACCGGTAACTATTGTTTGTGGGTATTCGTTTAATCGAAACTGACTTGGTAACATTTGGACAGGACAGCACGCGCCTGCAACTCACTCAATCATGATGTCACAAGGCAATATTGAACTGGTGATACCAGCGCACCAGTCAAAGACACTTCATTCGGAAGCAGAAGTTCTACATGGCAGCCGTGATTTTTCATACCATCTACTCGATTGTGACCAATGAGAATGACCAGTATGGCTCCCAGAACAATCTCACGTCCACAGCTATGCGTGACTGTGTCGCGTACGCCCACACTCATATGCCAGTGGCGAAGAAACTATATGCAGAAGCAAGATAGGCTGATACTACTTCTATCCAATGCTCGTCTTCCTCCGCCACAGCAGCCGCCGCATCGCCATCCCCTAACATCAGGGTCATCCTCGTCCCTAACCAGCCGCTCACATGGATCATTTGACTGCTCTTCTGGAAGGGAGACGGCCGTTTTCCCGTAGAATGGACCGGTGGTATGGTTCTGAGTTCTTCTGTGCTGATGCTTTTAGGGGCACGCTCAGACGGAACAACGAAGCGCACATTAACTTAGCTCTGTTACGCTGTACCTGAAGTACGATCTTAATCTTGGTTTACTAGTAAGCTATATTCTTCTCGATTGGACGCATAAATTTGCGTATGCAAGAAAGTCGTCATCAGATTCCAAAAGCACTCCGTTCGAGCGATGGAGGTGCGAACAGTGTCGCGATGGACGTCCAGCAAGTTATCTCTTACGGTGCTCGAATTTGCAAACAATTTTTCTTTCGAATATGGACGCTATCAACAGATGCGACTCTATTTGTTGCTGGACCCGACGAACGGACACTCGAGAACCCTGCAATTCTACTACGAAGTCTGACAATCTCCATCGCAGAACAGACGCAGAGTAGTGGAGGTAACTTGCAATTCTTCATGCGGCGATGGTATATCACTCCTAACAAGACAGTGATTTCCCATGGCCGACCTTCAAATACGGGAGAATAGCCGTCCATTTGCAATCCCTTACTCCCGGCACGATGATAAGTATCTGCCTCAATCTTGAGGAAACACTTAACAGGACCACATACTTGAGTCACAATCAAGTTGTACCTGGACTTCTAGTGTGTGAATATCCCCAATCAAATTTCTTGAAATTTTCGACATCATTCTAACGACTCGACAGTCCACGTTGACGCTCAAGAATCACCAGAACCCTGATGTGTTTAGCAGGTGACCTAGTCCACGAACGAGTAACTCCATATAACCGGAAATGAAGGGGTGTTGAAATATCGGCGGAAGTGTTGCTGTCTATCAATTCATTATCGACTTTCCATCGATAGGAACGATCGGAGGGTCGGCAGCCGTTCCACCACAACCGAGTCATTCGGAATCAAAAGAAAAAAAAAACATTTGTGAAATTCGTTCTTCAAAATATTGTAGAAGTTCACTGTGGACTCAGCTGATGTGCAATCGTAGTTGGGTGCAGCATGTTCCGTCTTTTTAGATCCAGCCAGTGATTGAATATACGTGCCACACGGTAGCCTCGAGGCATGGTAAAAATACATAGCGGTGCCGGCAGCTTGGATTGGGCCGAGAGTGGTGTTTGGGTGAACTCTAGGTACAATAGGGAGGAGAGGGGGAGGGATGTAGGACCTGAATAATTTTTTGTTCTCTATACTGGAGCTGCATTGTTCTCCATGGTGTGCAAACAAAGGGCAAACAGGGGAGCTGGTGGATGCGATAGAATAAGCGCCCGAATTATTATGAACGGTTTGGTTCCGTAGCTTGCTAGCGAAGGAGATCGCTTTCTGGAGACTTTGGGGGTGACCGGTGACCATTGTTACTTGATTCTTAGCTTCCTCCTTTTCTTCTCTTTTTTACTTTTTAGTTCACGATAAACTTGCGCGCTACAAGTTTTCATTTTGTACCACGACCCATCCACGAATTTTTCACAGCAGTCCAATGGATCAACACCAGCACCAGCACCAGCAGCACATAACCGATGATCACAACCAAAATCTCGGACATGCAAGTCCTTATGCATTCTATCCAGCCGAGCAAGAATCATCTTACAGCCTCGCGTACAACCACCACGCGATGCAGCACCAGCAGTCTTTTCCTGTCGTGCAGCATCCTAACCCTCATCATCCTCGTGGGTACTTTTTCATCCTCGAGGCCAAAACTCACCTTAAACACATGTTGATCTGATAATGTGCTCATGTTCTTGATTCTTTGTAGGCCATCTATCTGCGCCAGACTTGCATCAAGGCCTGCAGTTCCATAATCTTAGCCTCATGCCCACGCATCAAACGCATCAATATCCGCCACCCGTGTATACCTCATCGCCACAACATGTGTCAATGAATCTGCCTGCTGGCTCACCCCCTCCGCCCTCACCTCACATGTACGATCCTTTGTCCCCACCCATTTCAGGATCTGACACATCAGCGGACGGCCTTTACCACCACCATTCGAGAAACAGCAGCGGGACAGGCTCCCCATCGTCATCCCGTGGACCTAGTTTAGTTCATCGCCAATCTCTTCGCTACAACCCCACCCCTTCCCCTACCACTAGTTCTTCTGGGCGTCGTGGCCGTGCTCGTTCCTTAAACGACTCAGACGACGAAGACAACATGGGCGCTACATACGTAGAGAACTTGGCTCACACCAGAAAGGAGGCAACACGCAGACAGCGCATCGAGGCTGAGCAAAGGCGTAGAGACGAATTACGCGATGGCTATGCCAAATTGAAGGACGTCTTACCTGTTTCTAACCAGAAGAGTAGCAAGGTGTCGCTACTCGAGCGAGGTAAGACGATCAATGATAATCTTCGCCACCGGATGTTGACACTGTGGCGTTTAGCTACCAATCATATCATCTTTCTGGACAAACAGACACAAGATATGCAGGCTCGTCTTATTGTGCTGGAGCAGGAGGTGCAACGCCTTCGTGCCGTCAACGAGAAAATCTCGCTTGGCACTAGCAGCTCCCCTTCGCCAGGAAATATCCATGGCGTTGATGCTCGACCGTTGTCGCCTCCCCCCGAGCCTGGAATGCAAAATCATTCTCTCGCTCATGTTCAAGGCCAACAGCCCCCGCGAGAGGATTCGCGCAGTCCTGCCTCGGATTACTGAGATGCTGTGGTTTGCGCCATTTTCAACGGACGCTGCTGCCATCCATTTTCACCATTTTCCGCATCTTGTTTCACTGCACATCATGTATTTCTTATTCGTGTTTTGCGGCTCAGCGGTGGGAGAAGTCTAGCTTTGGACGAGGCAGGTCGAGGAGTAGGCGCTGGTGACGTTTTCTGCGCTATGCGCAGTACTATCGTCAATCCGCCCTCCTTCGAGCTCCCATACAACTTGATGTTGCAGGATCGATACGAATTCTCGCCCCTCTCGATCCGAGGAAGCGCTTGATTACCCCAATCGTGCTTAGTCTCGTTGATCGATAGGCGTTTGAGACCGTGTCTCCACCTCACATCACCTCGTGGATGCTCTAGTCCCCAGCGGACTGTCGCTTCCTCAAAGCTTAATCCCCAACCGCCAAGTATTCGGGCCACTCATCCCATTCTATCACTAACATGTATTGCACTCTTCTCACGACTGCATCTAACTACCTATTCATCCATCACCTATCACTCACTCATACGTAACGCGTCTACACACCTGCCCGCCATTACACATCATAGGTGCGGCTTGCTAAGACCGCAGGATACGAAATTCACCACGACTGAACGAACTCATTCTTGACGAATACTGCACGAACTCACTCGACGGGAACCGACGGAAAGGGCACACCAAAATTATATGACCCGCTCGCCGAAGCACTTTTGGACCTGATGGTCAACTGTCTCTTTGGTTGATGCGAACGGATTTAATCTAGGGCTTTCTTGATGAAAGCTGTTGCTGCCGCGGGTACCCTCTCTAGGAGAGGGTTGGAGCAAAAAGGTGCCTACCGAAGGAAGTTGTAGAACAGCCCCCGAAGATATGATCTATCATCTGTAGTCAGTACAGTAGTTTGTTCAACGCCTTACGCCTTTCTGTTTTTCTATATCATTCTATCGTCCTCATTCTTGTACAAGGGCTAGTCCAGACCTCGACCAAGGGCAAAATAGTACGATCGACCGATCTCAGACTTGATCGTTCGATGAACATCCAGACAATCATAACATGTATATTTGTCGGGATACCGGCAGCGTCGGAGGCTCCGGCTTGTTCACGGTCCCATACAACCCTCGGATTTTTGACCCACTTACTAGTCACAGCTCCACGTCAAGGACACATAAATATAATGTGGCGGAAAGTAAGCGAAATGCCCTCTAACTTCGCGTAATTCTAGTAATACACGATTGGCTGCAGGAAGAAGATCCCCGGAAGCCGGGGCTCTAACACCACTGTCAAATAGACTCTGGAGTCCTCGGATAAGGTATCGTCAGAATTGGGCACACTGAGTTCATATTCTTAGTATGGGGAGTTCTTCTCCACTGATGCGAATGCATTTATATCAGTCGCTGCATCATGATGATCCGGGAGCTAGAGAGACAGTGGTACTTGCCGGTGCGTACTTGCCGGATGGTAAGTAATATTTTTGAATTTCTACGGAGGGCTAGCCTATCCCCATAGAATGGAGCTAAGAAAATGCAGTCCTCGACGCCGAAACTCGAGGAGGAACTCCACCGGTTCCGAATCTTAAAACTATCGCCGATTGAGAGAAGCACCCTCAAAAACAGTAGGTAGACGGCTCCTTCCAGAATGGGGGTCTGATAAGTTCAGCGGAGATGAATCTGGATAGTGAGGAAGTTCTATCGGCAGTTCCATTGAGCGCAGAGAGAACGGATGTTTATTTTTTTCATAGACGTGAAAGGGTGACGCAAGACATCCTGATCAGTGTAAAACGTTATATAGTCAAGAGGAGTTGTCCATATCGACGAGTAGATGATCAGGATCCTTTGGGTATAGATCTAGAGGGATCACAAGAACTTGTGCAACGCGCAGCGGACTTGAAAACTAATGTGAAGCTGAGATTGCTTCGACCAGGATAGCGCGCACTCTATACAAAGTTCAGCAAAGTAGAGTTTTGAAACACGCCGTTATGCAAATGTATTGGATCGTGAGACCGAGTGCTTTTAACGAGATGGTCCAAGCCTGCAGTGATGACGATTGAATATTGAGCCCGCATCACATACCCATGAGTAGGGTGGATATCACCTTTCCTGCTAGGATGATCAGGTCAGATCTCCTCGTGTTGTTAAACAAATCGGAAAGGCGATCTCTCAAGCTGAAAGTGACGCGGGGGCATTGCGGGGGCAAGGCAAGTTGGTTATCACGCTCGTGACAAGAAGGCCGTCACTCGCTTACCATCACGCTTGCGTTTCAGTTGGTTCCACCCGAATACTCGACGAGGCTCCACAGCTTTCCCCGAAACGCAATACGCTAGCTCTTCCACAACTCCATCTATTTGCTATGAACACAGCGAGGAACTGATTTGCGGTTCTGACTTGTGACTGGACACTCTCGACTGCGCTCAATCTGCGATATAGTAAACTACCGATCTAGGGGCCTTGCCTTCATATCGCCATTGTTTGTTCAATGCTTCCAGAATGGAACGGAATCACAAGGCTTGATACGGCCCACGATAAGTTCTACTCATGAAACTAATCGCTTACTTTTCTCCGTGCACTAGAATCAGCAATTTTAACCGTCGATCCTACATGGTTTTCGTTCACCCACAACGAGGCTTCCTGATAGGCTGATGCTACAGTCTTATCGATTCTTTTTGCAGGGGCCTCGCAGCTGATGCGCTTTGCTTACGGCGTTCCTATTTTCACCTCAACTTTGCTTCTTGCTTTCATGATAAGCGGCGGGGTCTCTGTAGTACTACATACGCGGGCGAAGCTGTTTGTAGATCCCCGGCGAGCGAAGACTTCACAATCCTCCGATCCGAGGAAAGTCTAGGCGTCGTGGAATGATGCACTGGAATGCGTGACCACTTTTGTGCTTCTTTCTTGGCACAAGTGGACATATTGAACTCTGCTTGTTCTCTGCGAACTCATCCGGCCGTCTCTTGGTCCACCCGGAATATCCATGTGCACATACATGCTTCCTACTTCGCGGCTGTGTTCTTGTGATCAGTTGAAAGGTTTCCCACTCATCCGTTCCACACGGTAGAGGTTTCATGCAGGGTTTAGCCATCTACTGGGATATGAATGCCGCTGTAACGAAATTCTTCTATCGCATTGGTCCGTTAGTGCACAACTGTGGTCGTGCCCTCTAGGTCTGTGCGAGACGGTCGGACCTGACAGCTGTGTAAGTGAAGCAGGCATCGCCTCTGGTGCGTGTTTTTGCTTAAAGTCTAATTACGTCCCCTCGCTAACGTCATCTGATGTTGATTGATCATCCTCCATTCTCAAGTCACGCATCACGCATCTATTCACTTGGAACAACTCGTACGTTAATACTGGATTCGTCAGATCTGATGCGAGCCCACTGATTGGCGGGAAAGGCCCGCACTATTCTCTGGACTATCTAAAATAGAACGCGCGCTCGGCTGTAGACAAGGTATTCCAAATACACAGACACATACCAAACATGGACCCACGGCGTAACACCACTGGAATATAATAACTGCGCCTTATGGACATGAAAGGGGGTAATTGTCTTGTGGTGTCATTTTACGATGAAGGTTCTGACTTACGGCCGCGATACTATCAGGGAAGATTGAGATGACGACATTGCTTCGTGGCGTTTACCAACGCCTTAAGCCCTAGAGAAAAAGCGTTTCAATAGTGCGTTTACATCGGCTGGGTGATCACAATTACACAGGAGACCTTCCGAGGCTCATGTGATCAGTCACAAGTGGGTGAATTCAAAACTAGCTTTGCATGACAGCACATATTAAATTATACCAGTGGTTGCCGAGAAAAGTGTCACTGATGATCGGAGCATGGATATGGATCGAAATTTATAAGGTTTAGCGCGAGTAGCGGGGGGATGAACGAAACGTTGTGAAGTTTGTCCTCATGTTGAGAAAAAAAAGATTGAACCGAATTTGAGGACAGACTGAAGCAAAATCACAGATATCGATTCGATAACGCGGGCGGCTGCTAGGGTCACCGGAGAGCGCCCTTACTTGGCTAGCCGGATCTAGATTATGGTGTCACCGGCCAGGCAGGGCATTATAAGTTGGCCGAGCCGCGGCGCGGCGGGCACAGCAAGATAATAATGCAACGCATCAGGGTTGCGAACGGTATGATCGGGACTTGGAGTTCTGGGGGGACTAGAATCGAACCCAGAGGAATCGTAGGAAGCGACATGAAGAACGCTATGGGTGGTAAATGGGCTAGACGATCATGAGTTAGTCTAGGGTGAGCGTGACTGGCGCTCGGAGAAAGGGTTGGGTAATGGGCAAGAAGTGAAAGAATGGAGATGACATGACAATTTAGCAATGGAAGGAAATGGATGATACAAATTACGGACAAAATGGAGAGCGGGTTGTAGCTGATTTGGAATTGATGATCTGATGGCAAGTGGGGGCTGGCCGCGTTAGGATTGGCTCAGGAAAGGATCCGGGCAATGAGGCAGTAATTACTAGACTAAGGAGACTTGAGTGGGAAGAGATGCGTGTCAATGAAAGCCCCGTTTGTGAAAAGATAGGAACCGCTCTAGAGAGAAGAAGACAGGGACTAGAAATCCCGAAGTCATTTTTGGCCATGAAGGGTTGAAGGCACAAACACGAGGCACAGCGGGAATACCATACCCTCTAAATCGGTAACGTGAGATTTACATTCCTAAAATAGTCATCCCAAGCCATTTGTGCCAGGGATATTTAGACGGAATCAAAAAACTAACAAGTCTCCTCATCCCCTTCTTTTTCTTCAAATCCTCATATTCCGACTACCTTCCTGTTCTCCAGCTCCGACTTTTTTCTTTCTTTCTTCAGCTCTGTTGTTCTATTGTGCAGTCGGCTCCGGTACGTTCTTGTCCTTATTATTCTTTGTAGTCCTTTTGTTCAAACCCAATATCATAGTCCCAGCATATTTCAAGTGTCAGCTTATTTTGACGATCATCTTTACCTAGCTGCAGTGCAAGCACCCGCCTTCCGTACACCGACACATCGCTTTTTTTTTTAGTTTCAATCAGCAATGGAATCAACTCTTCTCGAGCACCCCCGGAGCCCCAACTTCATGGATACCCCATTTGCTTATGACTCGATTGCCAACCTCGAGCCGTACTTGCAGTACCCCCAGTCCCCCTATGGGGTCTCCACGATGTCCCGTTAGTATTGAATGACTCATGTTCCCACGAGTACAACAATTAATCGTATTCTATTTTTAGTCCCTGGACCCTCGTCTTCGTCCCCTCGCTTGGACTTCAACTCGTTGAACCTTACCAACTCAATCGGCGAGTACTCTTACTCTTCGAGCACGTCGTACACGACTGCTTCGCCAGGGCGCCCCTACACGCCCCCCGACAACGGCATCTCGCCTCCCGCTGTGTACTCTCTCAGCGCTGGTGAGCTCTCGTCGGACGGCCTTACTTCAGGCCGGCGTAGCCGTGGAAGCGGGACTCACTCCCCTTCCTCCGTGCACTCTGTTCCTTACTCCGCTGCCGTGCCGCGGTCGCACCGCTTCAACCCCATTGCGGCGCCTACCACGCGCTCTGCCACCAAGGCTACGCGGAGAAAGTCAAGGAATGACGACTCTGATGATGAGGATGATGACTTCCAGCCCTCCATCCCTGCTAACGCCAGCACTGACATGCGCCGCGAGACGATTCGTCGTCAACGCATCGAGTCAGAGCAGAGGCGTCGTGATGAACTTCGGGACGGTTACCGCAGACTCAAGGATGCTCTTCCGGTCTCCAACCAGAAGTCTAGCAAGGTCTCGCTCCTAGACCGCGCTACGACTCACGTCAAGTACCTCGAGATGACCGCTCAACAACTCCAGACGAGACTCCAACAGGCTGAGGCCGAAGTACAGCGACTTCGCTCGTAAGTTACTTATTGCCGCTGCTTTAGTACTATCTAACCTTATGTTTAGTGTCAATGAGGCGTTGATGCTCGGCACCGCTGAGCAACGCCACGCCGCTGCTGCCGCCGCAGTCGCAGCAGTATCTCAGCAATCACAGTCAAATTTCTGATTGCTGTGCTGACATGGGCTCGCTCGAAACATCCATGAAAAAAGCACCGTCGGTTTACATTATCAGCATTGTTTATTCACATGATCATACGACACTGGAATGCCTGTCGCCGGACTACAGGTTTTACGCACACTCAACGGACACTTAGCACGCATTTTTTTATTTTTGCACTGGTCATGAACTTCATACGCATTGTTATGTCTTCCTGCGTTGCATGGATAGCGTTTTGGACGTCCTAGTGACGTTCTATTCATTTTCGGACAGGTTTAGGATCGCGTAGTGGCGCTTGCGCCGCTCGTACGTCGACTGCTATGCATCGACGAGTAGGAAACCCTGACGATGAAGATTGGATACCGACTGGATCCGGATGATGTGTGGAGAATACGATACGACACAAGACCGCAGGGCAGCTTGAGGCAGCTACACCCAAGTGGTGTGCACGCTTCGCCGCATCTGCGTGAGCTTCTTGTTATCACGCCATCCTCTGTTCCCCCCTTCCGTTCCATTTCATCCTTCTCGCACTGAGACGAACGACCACTTCATTGTGGTACGTGCCTCGTGCACGCCGATACACAGGCGCATCATCAGTGGCAACACTCTCACGGGCATCCTTGCCTTTCTGGAATGGGTGTTTCTTACGTAGCTATTCATTTCCGTCCTCTACGAAGACTATTCCGCATCTAGCACGCACGGCATGTTTTATTATCATCCTACTTATCACCTTTTGTCATGATCCGGTGACTGATCACCGTTTATTTCGTGACCCTACCCTTTTCGCGAGATCATCAAGCTATCTCGCGGATAACACATGGCGACCACAGCATTGCATGTCTGTGTGCAAGTGCAGCAATTGTGGTTGGCGCAGCGGAGTTTTTTTGTTTTTGAAGGTTGTTTACGAGCACCGCCTACATTTTCCACTTCGACATTTCCATGCCTCAGAGCAGTTCGTCATCCTCTGTACCTCATTTGCCAGTCAAGTGTAGCGTGCATTGAGGAGGATTTGAGCGCCCGATGCATACGGCGATCTAGGAGTTGGTCATTGTTGCAGTTCTTGACGTTCTGTTCACTCCCGCTTGCGGGTTTGGATGCACCGGTCGTCGACATTCCTGACATTTCGATTATCCTCACGCTCTGGTTCACATCGCCGCATATCACACATTGTTACTCGCCCCCGCTATCATGTCTCATTGTCGCTATTTCTACACGCGCTATCATTATCGATTCTCCGTCAAGCTTCTTGTAGGTATTAGTTGTACTTGCCTTGCACTGGCGAGCGCGAGCTGTACTGCATTTATGTAGAATTGTCATACTATATCTCAAGCAATGAATCGATGTTTCCGCTTTTCTGAACAGAATTTCTGAAAGGATGGCAAGATGTGGGAGAATAGTGAATGAGGAAAGAATTCGATCGACTGCTGCTTGTCTTTCCAGATCTGCGGTTGAGTTGAAATGATGGTCGGCGGTAGCTATGGCCTTATCGATGAGGTCGATCTGGATGCAACGATAAGGCCTTTTGAGTTCCTCGTCATTATAATTAGTCAGACTATACTACTCCAACTACGATGTCAAACAAGCCGGCCATTCACCGCCAGCTGAATATCAAGTCTGGCGTGTCGAAAAGGCAAGAATAGCGCGACTCTGGCGTCACAGAGCGCTGACAGTATTTCTCAGGCTTTTGAAGGAACACATCCTGTATGCAAAAGAAGCAGAGGAGCAACAGCGGACGTTCGATAAGCTTATCGCCAATAAAGCTGAAGAGTGGGACTTGAAAAGTGCCGTGCGTGACAAAAGTCATTTTACATTCATCACCAGCTGAAGCTCATGTTTATGACAATACGCCGATCAGAAAAGGATATTGGAAGAGTCACACAGGATGATCAAGGATTCTGATAACCGTCTAGGCAAGGCGGTACAAGATCTACGAGAACTTGTCGTGCGTATTTCGGTCGTTTTCTAACTTTGCCTTGCGTTACCCCTGATGTCCGCGTCTTTTGGAAGCTACGAGTCAAGTCCCAACCTGAGTTTGCGGAAGATGTCGAGCTCCTGCATGCCGAGGAAGCACTGGAGGAGGCGAGCGTGTAAGTTTCGGCTGTAAACCTGGAAAATCACGCGATGGTATGAACCTGACTTTTGATTGCATTATATTAGACACTTGGATTCGAAGGTCTCGGCATAGACGTCCAGCTCGTTATAGTTTAGTTGGACTCATGTATTCATTGCGTGGTGTGGGGAAGTGTGTACTAGTAGTTGTTCGTGCTGTTGTGACGCTTTGAGGCGTGTGAGGGCGTCGAGGATGCCTACCCATGCATCTCGATCAGTGCGCTCTTCTTGCAGACCTCTGGTCCCTGTAGCTCTTGGAAGACCGACACCAAGTGAAGGGGGAACAAATCCAAGAGGGGGAGCTGTGATTGCGGATGGTGCGATTCGTGACTGGCGTATGTGAGCCAGTGAAGAGCGAATGGCTACTTGAATTGACTGCGGAAATTGAGTTGAGATTTTTTCTGAGATGTGCGATGAGAAGTTGACTGACGTCTAGCCGTTCAAAGTACTCGCTCACTTCTAGAACGAATTGCTCTGAGCGCTCTTCCCCCTGAGGGAGGTTGTCATCGGGCTCATCCGTCTGGGGGAGAGTGAGTAGCGAGACGGATGACGCTGCGAGGGATAGGAGACGGGTTATGTCCTAGTAGCGGGGGGTGATTGTGAGCGGTGCGCCCTCCATGCGGTGCGCGTTACGGCTTACTTTTTCGACTTCACCCAAGGCATAAGTCTGACGTGCTGTACGGCTTGATGTCCATATGGGATCGATCTCAGATGGATCGTTCTCTTGGACGGGCGGTGGTTCTTGGCGATGTGCCATGAGGAAAAAGAACCTTGTATTGGTGCTACTAATAACGCAAGTACTGCGGCCAGTATGTACTAGCTGTAGTTAGTTGTTTCAACTTATTTGTTTTCAAGTGAGTTACGGGGGTATCATTTACATAAAGTTCCCCTGTAGCGCTGAGGGTCTCTCCGTCGATTTTTCGTTGGTTAGAGTGTATCGTATCTGCAAGAAGAGGCGAGGACCCGCGGTGCTCCAAAGAACATCTACCCTTTAATGATCATCCAGGGACATCATGTACCGCGTAATGAGGGGGCTCGACGAAAAGTTATACTTAAGTGAATGACCCTGAAGGTGAGAGCGTCCTCCACTGGCTTCTATCATGGGACATAAAAGGTTATTGAACGTTCGATTCGAAGGGCAGTCACATTGCGTTGGTCAATGATATTAATATTAACCAGGGACAGGGCCGCATTAAAATATGGGGGGGGGGTCTTAAAGAGACTGTTGCTATCAGTCGTAGACGCGTGCCGCAGCGTGCACGATATCGGAAGTGGTCAAACCTTCGTGTAATGGAAGTACTCTGTGATCCCCTGTAATGGCTTCAGTACTTCGTTGACTTGATGGTGGTAAGAGAATAAGAGCACAGAAGGATGAATTTAGTAATTGAATTACCTAATAAGGCAACCAACCGCCTCCAGTTTCAACTGCTTTGTCTATGCACTATGCTCATCCGATAGTGGAGAGGCTAAAGGCGTAGTAGGCAGCTCCACTATTCTACTTTGTGATCCCGAACTACAACCGACTTGTTAGATGGAATCACCACTAACCTATTCTCCAGTCCAGAGCATCCATTCCGGTCTTCCGTCAAGGTCCCGGAGTAGCACAAAACTTGGTGACGACGTCACCTCATTGACTTCCTTCAATCCTTTCTCAGAAGAAGATGAAAACGATTATTCATCCTATGCTCTTGTGACCTCTTTGTTTTCACGCATGAAGAATAGCTTCGCTGCGCCCTTGACATCTTCCACTCTCTCACCCCCTCCCAATGGCACTCTTGGAGCCCTTACAGGCGAACAGAAACGTCCATCCGTAGCCTCCGTAAACGCATCCGCCTTCTCTTCTCGGTCTTCTGCGCCTGAGCGTCCCTCATCATTGACAGTCGTGCCATCCAGAACTGCGCCACCCCTCGTATCCTTGACGCCAGTCGTGTCAGATCCACCATCCTTTGGTACAGAATTAGACCGCTCGCCTTCACGTAGTGGCCAATATACTCCTGTATACGAGACTCCAGACGGCGGTCTCTTTGGTACTGCTATCCCTGGTTTTCCCATCCAGGATGATGCGCGTAGTATACGCACTACTGCTTCATTAAATCGGTCTGCCTCTGTATCCAAAGTTATACGTCGTATTCGCGGTGAAGGTAGATATACAGACCTTTTCTTAACTGCTTCTAACACTGTTGCAGGTCTCTCTCGTGATTATTGGATGGAAGACTCCAATGCAAGGGAGTGTTATGATTGCAAAAGCGTATTCACAACATGGCGACGCAAACATCATTGTCGTATATGCGGTGTGTACCCTAACTTTCAAATTCAGACCTACCGCTCATCCAAGTGCAGGCCAAATATTCTGCTCGCGTTGTGCATCGAATATCATTAAGGGTTCCAGGTTCGGTCATGACGGCATGGTTCGGGTGTGCAATCTCTGTCTCGAGAAACTTGCAAAGGTTGAAGACGAAGATGACGACGACAGGCGTTCTGTTGTCTCTTCTACAGCTTCTCCATTCCCTGCCCACCAGTTTGGCAGCGATTCATTCACGCTCAGTCTCGGCCATCATCCGCAATCCCCATTCGCCGCGTCCCAGCTGTTCGGAAGGACGGACGAACCGTTTAATCTGTATTCCATTGCTGAGACAAAGAGACTGATATCTGACAATGACTCTGTGTCTACTGCCTTCGCCGAGTGGGAGCCTGTCCGCGAGAGTACAGCACCCTTTCGACGGAACCTCTCAGAAGACGAGAAGGATCCTCCCTCAATATCCAACTTCAGCAAAAATACCGCACAAGCTACTGTGGCTCCTCGGTCAAAGACCCCAGTTGACTTTCCAGTCACTGTACCAATCAATGTCGAGGGCACTATGAGCTCAATTCAATTTCCTTTGAGCTCTCCGGACCAACACGTGTCAGACAGTCCTGGAAATTACAATACCATGCGCTCCAGATTCAGCAGCTTTGGTGATTTTGATGTTGCTACGCCCTTTATCAGGAGCCGAGCCCATAGTCGGCTCGATAGCTTCCCTACTATTGAAGGTTGGCGCACGAGGCGAGATTCTACCGCGTGAGTTAAAATTTAATATAAGTCATCTTGCATGATCTCATGCCATGAGCTTAGTTATGCTCAAGAGCTTAACCTAATTTCCATGTTCCACCTTCGCGTCATGCTGCGGCAAATGCTCACGACCGAGCAGATCCCGAACATCAAGGAATGGGAAGAAACCCTGCTGAAGCTTGCCCTTCGCGTCGCAAAAGAACTTACCTTCACTGCCCTTCCATACCACCAAGGCGAAGACATGGATGTTCGACGATATGTCAAGATCAAAAAGATACCCGGTGGCGCACCGAGTGATTCGGAATACGTTGATGGTGCCGTCATAACCAAGAACGTTGCCCACAAGCAAATGTCACGTATGCAACGTAATCCCCGTGTCATGCTTGTAACCTTCCCACTTGAGTTTCATCGGGTGGAGGGCCAATATGTCCACTTTGGCCAGATTCTTAGACAGGAAAAGGAGTATCTCGGAAACTTGGCGAGCAGGATCGCAGCGCTCAGGCCGCATGTGGTGTTGGTGGAAAAGTCCGTGAGCAGGATTGCACTCGAAGGGCTTGCGAAGCATAATATCGCCGTCGCTCGCGCTGTAAAGCCTACCGCGATCCAATTTGTGGCCCGGATGACTCAGGGAGATGTCTTTTCGTCGATCGATAAGCTTGCTTTAGAGCCCCGATTAGGTCATTGCGCGCGGTTCCGCGTGCAGACTTTCGACCACCCTCTGATCCCAGGGCAACGGAAGACCTATATGCGGTTTGAGGGATGCAGCCGTGAGTTGGGGTGCACCATCATCCTGAGAGGAGGAGATGTAGATATGCTCAAGAAGGTGAAGAAAGTGACCAGATTCTTGATGTTTGTCGTGAGGAACTTGAAGCTGGAGACCCACTTGTGGAAAGACTCCGTGATTACGCTTCCTAGCCTGAGTGCAGAGGCCGTACCGGCAGGTGGTGCTACGAAGCGGTATGCAGAGGGATCTGGCACGGTATCGAACCCTGGTGGTCTTGTGCCTGCATCGGTGTCCCTGGTGCATCTTGTGACACCAGAGGATAAGGAGCGGCAAAAGGCAGAGGAGGCGGAGATCAAAGAAGCTGAAGATGATCTTCCGGATGCTGATGCCGAGCGCCTTCGTCTTTCGAAACGAATTCAGCAGTCACTGGAGCCGTACACCAAGACCTTCATATCCGTTTCTGCTACTCTGCGCTTTCCTCCCCCTCAGCCTATTAGGCGGATGAAGGAGTTGGATGACGAGCTTACTAATGTACAACGCGCTTGGGAAGACGAGATTGTGCGAAGAGAGGAGAAAGGCCCTGTTAAAAATGATAGTAAGGTTCCTTCGGGAACCCCCACCCCTGCAAGTGAGGCAACGGCCACTGTGTCCAGAATCGAACCAGACGTGGACGATGTGAAAGCCCAAATTGAAGCACTCCCACTCCCTGATCTTCCGAAAACACCTACTTCTGGGTTGTCTGAACTCGGCGAGGAACCCGCTGGTTACTTCGAGCCCCAGCCAAGTACATTGCATGTCCTTGGGGGGTCATCGTTCTTCCATTCCCCCCGCCTTATCGATCCTGGCGAGAAAGATCATTTGATTCCCCTCAAGACCGCTACGGACATTGCGCTGGAGAGCCAGTTAGGTATGGTGAAGCATCGCCACGAAGAGCAGCGACGTATTTGGGAATGGTACCTCCGCAAGAACGCTGATGATTTCGTGATTGACCAGTACCAATGCATTAGCCTTTGGGAATACACCATCCCGATCGAAGAATTTGGTCTTCATCGCGCCTGTTTCGCTCCTGGATTGAAGTATATCAAGTTCTATGGCGAGAACGATTGCACGCTGGGTCAGTTCATTGAGAAGAGCGTTAACGAGACGTTGGTCCGGTTCCTTGACCCGAAAGCGATTTGCACTGGGAAAGGATGCAACCAGCCACTTGCG